GTACAACCTCTACTACGCTGTGTTTTCTCTTTCTTTTTGCATACCCTGTCACTCCGTCTGCATGAACAAACGGATCTCAGAGACTAAATGAGTTCGAGACATAATTAGACTATTCGCAGACCGCTAACTGCGCACCGTGCCTAGGCACTGGGTACTAGCATTACTGGCACTGAACACTCCCATTACCGTTAACGAGCAACATGCGAGATGGCTGGCAGCCATCTTGGATTCCTTGCTCCTCAATGTCCACTTGTCGTTGCTATTGCTGTGCACAGACTTCAAGTTGGACACCATTACTGCCCTTTTGTATTCCCTTGTCGAGTGTGGGTATCATAACTTTACCATCAAATAGATGGCCAACAATCTTAAGATATTTATTTAAGAAAATAAATGAAAATGTATATTGAGCCAAAACCTAGTGAACTATAACAACTAGCTTCTTATCTGTCCAATCTGTCCATTCTAAATTAGGGGAAAGGGTATTCAAGCTTCGTTACGTTTGAGATAAATGAAACTTGATTTTGCACTGCTTCCATTTTGGTTGCAGCAATAAAAAATGTAGGGAGTGAAATTGAATGCCTTGGAGCAATTGGAATCTGGTCACCATATAGACGCTGGAATCGCCATAAAGTTTGCGACTTTGGCAAAACGCATTGGGTTCAAAGGAGGCGAGCTTGTTGTGCTTCCTGTGCAACAAACAACAGTAACACAAAAAAATACAAAACACAACTGCGAAAAAAATAACTTTAAAAGTTGCGTTTGCCAGAGGTAACAAAAATACAATGTGGGCGTGGCAAGGCGTGGAAAAGTAGGGAAAGCAGGCACACTCAGAAAAAAGAAACAAACAAAATCTTTTATCTTTCAATTTTCTCAATTTCAATGTAGATTCTGCTTTATAAATCTGCAAACATTGAGAATTTGGGAGCAGTTGGTGAAAAATGGCCAACAAGTTGATAGAAATAAACCGATTGCAATTCAAAACCGGAACCAGAAAATCAAGATTTTTGTAGAACCAGTAACCGGAACTGATATTATTACTAATTAAAATATAATAAAATAATGATAATATATAAAGTATATATGTATGTATGTTCCTGATCAGCATTCATTACCTGATTAAATATAAATAATACAAATAGAAATGTTTAAACTTTTCCTCATATTTGGACAAAAAAAAATCAACGAGATCAGATTACTATAACAAATATCTGTCGAACGGCTTATTAGACTTATAACAAAGTTTAGATGTCGTCAATCATCGCCCAAGAAAACTGTTCTTGCTGCTGTGCATAGTTTTCGCTCAGTGCAGTCCAGCATTGGCTTCATCAAAACATTTGACAACGGCGCTTTTCGTTTTTAATGGCAGTTGCCGGCCAAGTCATCAACATGGCCGAGTTCCAACTGAGCCTTCAACTACTGCCCCACACTCCAGGTCCCTGCCTCTGTCTGTGCCTCAGTCTCTTCTCCCACTCCTCTTTGCTGTTGTTGGGCAACGATGGCATCCCGGCTATTGTTCCTTAATTGGCGTTCTGGCCGCTCGACTCGTTGTGCATACACTCAGAAAAAAACAGCATCACTCCGAGAACTAAAAAAAAGATTCTGTTTCTTAAAAATAATTTCCAAATACAAAGGGAAAAAATATGTTTTAAGATTAGAAAAGCGTTTTCTTTTTTTCTATTTGCATTTATCTATTTGTCTCAAATGTGTGGAGTGCCCCTCGCTTGCTGGTTGCATGTGAATGTGCCTCAGCCTGTGGCAGCACCGTGTGTTGCCGTGTTGCGCATTCGATCACGTTCCACGTCCACGAGCCATTTGCATTCCGTGGCAACATCGCCATTGTCCGTCGAGTCCTGTGCGTCCTGTGAGTCCGGTGTGTTCTCGCCCGTTTTGCGTGAGTCTGTTACATAACAACAACTGCGAAGGGGCACCAACAGTGACAGCCTCATTGTGCAACACAACAGCAGGACACTCATAAAAAAAATCTCCCAAATTGAGTGCCTTCCCACCGAGCTACTCGGTCTCTAAGAGACGACAGACGACAGCTAAACTCTAATATAAAAGCCGAGCCACTAAATTGCATAACTTGTTTCTGGATTCGAAGAAAGGATTATTTCTACAATTTAAGGTTTGCATTTCTACTTTTTAGAAATGTTTTTCATAGCAGCTGATAACAGGTATGGATGTAGCCAAGAAATACCGATCTCTAAAGTTGGATATGTGGGCGTGGCTGATACAAATTATAGAGATGGTTCCTAGGAATATTCCTATCAAGTTTGGTAGCTTTAGCTCTTAAATTGTGCTAGATATAAGCCTTTGAGTGGGCGTGGTCTGAAAACATATATGTGCCGATCTTTGAAAGAGGTGACCAGCAAACTAGCATCCACATTTGGTGACTCAATCAAATTGTTTTTCCAAATATTTGGAAATTATTACCAAAATCAAGGAAAACGTATTCGTTTTCAGGGCACTTTTCATTTTAGGCCGATTTTTTAGCTGAGTGTAGCAGTGGCAATGGCAGAAACATCAGCAAAAGTCGGCAGCAGTGACAAAACTACAACAATGTTGCAAATGTGCAACGCGAGGCAACGTGTGGCACGTCGTCCTGCAGCCTGACTGTGCAACCTGACGCCCAGCGCTGCGGCTGTCCTCAGACTGCAGCTGAGAGACTGAGAAGCAGTAACAACAGCAACAGCAACAGTAGGGGCAACAATGAGGGGCAGCAACAGAGAGAGCAGAGCAGAGCTGAGCAGAGCGGAGGAGGGCTCATTGCATTTATGTTGCATGACTGGCTTAATTCATTCATTTAGAAGACTCTGACAATTGTAGGTGTCGCAACCACCCTTTTGCCACCACCCCTGCCAACTCACTGCCACCCACTCATCTCGACGTTCGACGCAGTGCAGCAACAGACAACAACAGCCATAAATAAAATATGAAATTGCCCAACTGTGCATTGCACTAGTTTTGCTACACTGTCCGCAAATGGGTTTCACCAAATTGTGCTTGATTATGTAACAGAGCAGAGCAAAAGGCATATATATATATATATATATATATGTTCTTGATCCATCTGTCGAACGATCTCAGAGAAAACAAATCGCGCTGATATTTTGAAAATCGACATCATTTATGGATATTGCTGCCTTGATAGAGCCACAAATAACATCAGTTTCGGTAATCGAGAAAAATGTTGAATTTAGCTTCTGAATCCGATTCGGAATTTAAATCGGATCTGATTATTATAGAACATCAAATTATGATTCCTCACTTTTAGATAGTTGGAGATTTATATTTATGTAGACTGAAAAAATCATTATTATTAAAAACTAAACAAATTAAATTAATGAAATTTCTATGATCCTTCTAATAAATTGAGAGTGAAACAAAAAAACAAACTGATAAATTTACTATCTGATTAATACGATAAGTGTCCAAAGTGTGTTTTATTTTTCCAAATATCTGTTTGATTTTTTTAGAGACTGACAGAGATGGGTAAATCGGTTGAAAGGGAAGAAGAATCTATATAATTTGTCAACTTTATGATCAATTTCTAGACGATTAATTTTTGTATACTTTGCGTTGAGAGTATTAGTATAATGTGGTGCCCGATAAGCTTGTTGACTCTATATCAATATGCTCCAATATGCTCTGTGTTTCTGTTTTGATGGGGAGAACAGAGTATAAGAGCTGTATGACAACCAGTGTAGAGCCATTGTGGCACAGACATTGCCAATGCCTGGCTGGGTGGCTGGTTGACTGGTTGACTGGCTGGGCGAATTATTATTGCCTGACGCAGGCAGTTGGACGCCAACAGCGCCAACTACGACGACGACGACGGCGACGACCAATGTGCCTTGTCATTGTTCCCATTCCTGCTCCCCATTGTGCAATGTGAATGCAAATGCAAGTGCCTTTTACCCTTGTATGAGTGTGTGTGTGTGTGTGTGTGTTCGCTGTTGGCATATGTGTGCATGTGTGCTCCATCTTGTTATGGCATTTGAACCATTTTTCGCGTAGGTGCAACTGGGTTGGTCAACAACAAGCTGAGCTGCAACCATTTGTCAGCTTGTCAATCAGCAGCTTGGCTTGGCTGTCACACACACACACACACACACACACACACACACACATACACACACACACACATACAGTGCACATGCATGCATACTTTTTCATAGATTATCATAATGAAAAGCAAGCAATACACAGACACATACAAATACCTTTGCTGATGGAATGTGTTGTGAGAAGAGCTAATAAAAAAAAACGGTGATGTGAAGTTGAAATGCTGATTATGATAATCTTTATTGCAGAGCTTATTATAAGTGTATATTTATTATCTCTTATAGTACAAAGAATATTAACATATTAACAAGAATTATCAACCATTGCCAAGTGCATTTGTTGAATTCCATCAAGAATACTTGATGCCAAATTGCTAAGCAAAAAGAGCTTGATATGCTTATGCCATAGAAGAACATTTGTAAATTTTTTATAATATCCGTTTGTCTAACTGTAAAACTGAACTAAGAGAAAAAGTCTCCCCTCCTAAAGAGAAAATTACACAATTACTATTGCAATACAGAAAAACATTATATATATTTATGGTAATATTGTAAAATTATTCCTTAAAATATTTGATCATCTTATCAATGACCGTTGCAAATGGATCAGCTGATATATTTGAGTTCGATTACGTAAATAAACGATAAGCATATCGATATTATTTTCCTTACCATCCGTGTGAACCGTTTGAAGCGTTGCCAGTAAGAACAAATATATGTGTATTAAAGTTAATATAATATGCATACACCAAATTTATATAAAATGCACAAGTATACAAAATAGATTACTTATGAAATTACTTGACGCACACACACACATATATGGCCTTAGAGAAAATTAAATGCCAAATGCAAGCAAAAATTTAAACAACAACGGTCACATTGCTGGCGTTGGCTGGCATCACTGCAGTGCTGTTAAGCGCGATCGCAACGGCGTTGCCACACGTTCATTTCAAATTTGACTTTTGCGCTAACGAACGTCGTGGAGAACGCATTAAACGAGGAAAACGACGCTGCAACATTTGAAACATACAAATAAAAAGTCGAAGACAGCATTAAAAAATTAAACGTGCAAAGCAAACATTACCAACGACTGCACAATATGCTGGGAGCCGTTGTTAACACACAAATGACAACAATGCGCAATAGCGCAGTCGCCGTCGCAGCCTTGGCAAACAACAAAGGACAACAACAGCAGCAGCAGCAGCAACAACAAGTGGTGGCCTCGAACTTAACTGAGATAATGAGGAAATTGCAAGTGGATTATGGCAACTACAAATACACCGTTTATCGATGTGCCAGCAAATTTGTTGCCCTGCAAAAGATCTTTCACAGTGAGTGCAATAATAGCTGTTATCAGGAATATTAATATTAATAATATGAATATTTATATTTGTATAATTTACAGCTGGCAAAATACCGTACAAACTGGTGCTGGCCATATTGGAACGCCATGGAATGCCAGGAAGTGGCGGCAACTGTAATCTAAACTTGATGGTGCCACCCTTTCAGCTCACCTCGCTGCTCCACGACATTTATTTCGCCTGCGAGAAACTGGGACATTTCACCAAAACTACCAACTATCAGCTGGAAACGGCAACGGCCCTATTGGCCAACTTCTTCTGGAATATCTATGATCCGTAGGTGTATTAAAGATGTATTTATATATATACTCTACTCCTTACCCATCTCATATCCCATCTTTTTTCCGGTTCTGTTTTCTCTTTTGCTAATAAAGTCAGCGTCGCCATTCGATTTCGCTGCTGGAGATCAAGGTTACATTTTTGCTGCTCTGCAAACTATACAGCAGCGAGCACATGATTGCTGACTTTTACAGTTTGCTGGCGGATGGGCGGATCACGCAATGCGTTTCCCGTTACGCCTTCGAACAGTTGCTGCTGACGCTGAGCAAGCTGCTGTCGTATCTGGGCGAATCGAAGGCATATGGCGCACACAATTTGCCAGCAATGCTGGAGCAATGCTTTGCCCGGTGTCATCACGGTGTCGCCGGCCTCGACGAGCAACAGTTTCACAGCCTGTGGACCCAGACACAGACACGTTTCCTCATCTATGGCAATCTGTTGGCGCTGATCAAACGTATCGAGGACACCGAACATTTGATCCATAGCAATTCGTGTGCTGGCTGTCGCAGCGAGCACATCATTGGCATCCGTTTCAAGTGTCAGGTGTGCCGGGATCTGTCGCTGTGCTTGCCCTGCTTTGCAGCAGCGGCAACGCATGTGGCATGTGGCAAGCACGAGGCATCGCATCGCATGTGCGAGGTATTTGTCGAGGATCATCAGCCGCATCCACGTCGCTGGACCCATTATCTGTCTCGTCTGTGCAACTGGTTCGCCTACCACGCCCACAAGACCCAGCGTGCCGATGCCGAGGAGGAGGAGCGTCGCGGCTTCTGCAATGCACAAGAGAGCACAGGCACTGGCAGCGTCAATCAGCCGAGCAATGCCACCGAATTGGCGCCCATTCCAGCCGAGACGCGCAGCATTCGCAGCAATTCCACGTTGCCCATGAAGACGCCTCTCCCTGAGAAGACCATCAATCACCAGCAGCAGCAGGCACAACAACAACCACCACAACAAGAGCTATGTATGTATAGAAAGAACAATTGACTGATAGACTGACTGATTGATCACTTCTGGGCAAACAATTGATTGATGACTGACTATGTTTAGATAAACCACCGATTGATGTCTGATTCACCGAGTAATTTATTGACATATGAACCAATGTATTGGCTAAATGAATAAATTAATGGAAAGAATAATTGATTGACAGACTGACTGACTGGACAAACGATTGATTGATGACTGATAGATTGTATTAACTAATTATTATTGATTAACTGACTTGTCAATTGATAGGCTGACAAACTGATTGACAGAGGTGGATTTTAAATGATTGATTGATTGATTGACTTATGCACTATGCGCAGCTGAAATGATTGACTGACTGGTGTATTATTGACTTGCTTTTCTTCTATAATATTCGAACAGGTTCTCTAACTGGCCTCGCCAGCAATGCTTCGGAGCGTATGCAGTCCATTATCGATCGTCTGCTGCTGCAGAACACGTAAGTCTCCAAAATGTTTCATTAACTTGCTGTTCTCATTTACATTTACTCAACACTTGCCACTCAACAGTAAGCTGGAGACGCAACTGCAACACTTGGCGACCACATCGAGCACACAAATCTCCGAGTTTCTCAGCGCTCATCAGAGCTTCTTGCTGCACATCATCGAGGATATGCGTCAGCTATCGGTTTGTTGCTTTGATTGTTTGATCTGGAAAACAAACACACACCAACATCTCTCTTTCTCTCTCCCTCTCTCTCTCTCTCGCTCGCTATCTTTGTTGTTGCAGCGCGCATCTTCAGCAGCACCGTTGATTAGCTCGACATTTTTGAATTCCAGCACACCGCAACGATTGCCGCTGCCCGTCGGCCAGGCGATGTATGACATTTATGCGCCAGTCGGCGCCAACTTGACACATTCCAGTGCGTAAAATTTATTGATTGACGAGTTGATTGATGGACAGACGATACAGATACTGACTAAATGGCTGCTTAACAGGTCGAACAATTGATTGACAAACTGTATTGTTTGGCTGATTGATTGACTAACTAGACATTATTTAACAGGCTGACTGATTTGACTTACTCAACGATTCTCTGATTATGAGCCAACTTACCAATTATATATTTTTCTCTCCCGCACACACAGTCAACGGGGCCGAGCTGAATCGCAGCTATTTGGAGGCAAACAAATCGGATTACTCGCTGAGCGACATCAGCTTATGGTTTGATCAGCGTCGTTCCAGCATGCAACACCAGCAGCACCAACAGCAGCAGCAACAACCACAGCAGGCTGGCATGCCGCTGGGTGCATTGCTGGAGCAGTCGGTCAATCTGGATGTGCGCGACACGGAAATGGTCAACTTTAGGCTGCTGCTGCACAAGGTCAAGGAGATTGTCGAGGACTCGTACAGTGACAATGCCGAATTGTCGGCGGCCACACAGAATCTGGAGAATGTCCTCGACAACATCATCAAGGGCGAGGAGCAACAGAGACGCAGCAGCTGCAGCGCCAGTGCCAGTGCCAGCGACCGAAGTTCCCAACGTGCAATGTCCTAAAAAAAAAGAGAGAAGAAGAAGAACCATCCATTTTATGCCTTAAATTCAGTTAACTATTACTTAACAAAGGTCTGCCTAGAAATGCTTTAAATTAAGCTAAGTATTTTATATGTTCTAAAACATTGTTAATTATACAAAAATAATGAACAATTGTCGCTTGACAATTTGAGCAATGCTGTATTTTGTGGCATATATCCTGTTTATGTATATGTATATCCTTCAGGATAAACAGTCCAATCACTGATTATTAATATTTAGTTGTTATTTTGAATAAAGCATTTTATACCTAGCGGACAAGACTTGGGCATTGATAAAGTGTTAAGGTTTGGACTTGACTATTGATGCTGATTGAGAATATATAAACTTGATGGAATCGGAGAAGTCTCCTCTCATAGTTACAGTAGAATATAATTGAGCTGCCATAAAGTATACATACATATATATTCTTGACCAACATCACGACCATGTTGAACAATCGATATAATACCACTATATATCATATAGCTGCCATTGGAACAATCGGTCGAAAGACGTGTTTCAAGCTGTTGCTTCGAATTGGACGTAGACATGCAAATCACGAAATTCTGATCTAATTTAATAACGATTAAACAAATTTTAACCAACATATTTTATGCTTGAGGCATTCTAACTTGTTTTAGACCAACTTTTAAGGATGCGTTGCATTTGGGATACGCTAAGGAAATTTGAATACACAGAAAAAGTCAATAACAAAAAACAAAACGTTTCAATAAAATGAACCTAATAATATATTTAAATATTTAAAATATAAATTGATTAAGCAGTTAATTTAGAATACAATCAGTTTGGACAAAAGTACACCAGACTACATGGCACGGCACTGCTGCTGCTGGTTGATTGCAGCTGCGTTTAGCTGCTTATCACAGATATCAGCAAATCATTGGCCATTTCCAGCTGATGCAGACGCCTCTGTTTGCTGGCCGTTGACGCCGCTGGTGCCTGGAATAGTTCGGCTCGGGCTTGCAGCTCATCGCGCAGTGCCGATTCGAGGAGCAGCGCTGCATTTGCCGGACGTCGGCACTCCGCCTCGTGCTCCAGCCGCAACAGCGACAGGTTGCAGTGCAGCTGCAACAGATCCTGCTGGAGACGGCGCAGCAGCAGGCCCAGCTGCGTCTGGCTGCGCGCAAACAGATGCCAGTGCTGGCCAGGCTCATTGTGCAGCAGCAACACCTCCGACGATCGATTATAAAAGATGCAATGATGTGCGCCAGTTGGGGTTAAGCCACAGCTGCCACTGTGACTTCGGTTGTCAAAGACAAAGTCATCCAAGAGCTGCGCAGCTGCAAGCGAAACACACACGAATTGAGTTGAAGGATTCATTCAGCTGGGAGATTCAATGACTGAACTCACCCTCAAGCCCTTGCTGCTCCTGCTCCTGCTGCTGCTTTGTTGGTTGCTGCTGCTGATCCGTCTGGGGCACCATTGTAGCCACATAGCCCCATTTGCCGATGAGCAGCTGCTCGAACTGTGTCTGCTGCTCGACGCCTTGAAACTGCAGTCGCAGCGCGCAATGCGCTGTCTGCGCCATGATCACCGCCAGGAAATCCTGATGAAGTGTTGCCGCCCCAAAGCTGGGCACATGCAGCGACTGCTGCTGCAACAGCTGCCCCACCTTAATGGTGGCCACTTGCAGCTGCAGCTGCCGTACATCATTCGCATCCGCCGCATGCAGCTCGTAGGTGACAAGCAATTGGATCTCCTCCAGCGCCATCAAATCGTCTAGCTGCAGGCGCAGCAGCAACACAGAGCTGCTTTCCGGTGCCAATTTGTGGACGATGCTCGCTGCCGGTGGCCAGTTAAAGCCATTGCTGTGCGCGCTGTGCTCTTCGTAACACGCTCCGAACTGGGCGAATCCATCATAATCCTCCGGCGACTGGCCATCCGATTGCATGGGCAGCTCGTACAAGCGATGAGCATAGTTCAGACCACATCCGGCGGGCAGACAGCAGAGGAGCGGACGCAGTGCGTGCAACGTGCTGCACCGATTGTTGCCCGTCGCATTGGTCAGCAGGGTGCCCAGCACAAGACAATCGCCACAGATGCGTGTCCAGAGATCACCGCAGCGGCGCAACAGCTGCTTCTCCTCCAGCAACGGCGAACGCTGGCCGGGCACGCCGAATGCCAATCGGTCGCGGGCACGCCCAAAATCCAATTCAGTTTGGACACGCTGCGCTTGCAGCTCGGCGCGTGCGTAGTGGACACGCGCCAGCAGACGGTGGAAGCCATCGACTGTGTGTGCACTGCCAGTTGGAGCTGGTGTCTCAGCCGTGTTAGCTGTTTGGAAATTTGTGCGCAATCGTTTGCCGTTTGTAAAATGGAGCTCGACGTGTGCCTGATATTTGATGGGACTGCGCACCAAGCGATAATCCTGTAGATTATCAAACTGGGCGATCAGCAGAAAGGGTGCACCATCCAGCTTGGGTCGCTGCAGGACGAGCAGCTTGTGCCAGCAGCGCAACAACAAATATACCTCTTCATTCAGCCAAACATATTTGCCAATGCTCAGCGGCAGATCCTCGACAGCGTGCAACATGCTGTAGCTTGTCGAATCGCTGCTAATGTCCATCGTCACATCGTCGCGTATGAGGAAGCTGTGGATGGGTCCGCTGTATGTCAACAATTCGGTGGCGAGTTGCATCAAGCCGCTGTCCCTTAGATCGATATGATGCAACAGCACCTTTTTGCGGAACTCGTAGAATTTGAGTTGGCGACTGAGCAGCAGGCTGGATTTTGTTTGCTTCACGTGCAGCTGACTGCAGTAGGCAACTGTGTTGCGCTGCATCAGTAATTCCGGCACATCCTCCTCGATATGCGACAGCATTGCAAACAAACATAAATAAGCTAAACTAGGAAAAGTATTAAAAAAAAAAAAGACAAAAAAAAAACAAAACAAAACAAAAGAGCGCGTTAGAGATGTGCGTGAATTGACTACGTCAGTGTTGCCAGTTATCGATTGACAATTTGCACTGATCGACCCGAAAAAAAGCCAAAAATTATTCAAATTATGTGATTGGTATAAAATTATTATTATTATAGCTTTATCAATCATTTAATTAAGTTAGTTTAGAAAAATAACAGAACAGATCTGTCCGATAAGTGACCAAAGCGGCACACCGTACTGGGCTGCCTTCTCATATATCGATATACAATTTCGATAACTACGTCATCGATCGCCAATGCGCTGCTACAGCACAAATTCAATTTAACGGTCAGTTTGGTTGTTATCTAAAAACACCATTTATTTGATTACATGTAAATTGCACAAAGCGCAAGTATTTTCTGACAAATAATAATTGCTTACCAGCTAATAGCATACATGAAAAACGCATACTTAGGAACAAGGCAGTTGCATACAAAACATAATATATATATATATATATATATATATATAGAGGAAAACTGAAAAAAAAATAGATATACATATGTCTAGTTTACGGAACTTATTCCAGATCACAAGGCGGGCCACTTTGAGTGCCCCCTCTCCAAAAAAAAATACAAAATGAGACTCGAAAAATAATTCAAATTAACATTTGTTCGCGCGAACCCGAACCGGAGCCGAATAACAACGGCTTCGCCGGCTGCACCATGGAGCGTCGCAAGCGATTCCGTTGCATGCTGGAATTGCGTTCGCGCACCGATTGTCGCAACTGCTGGCGACGTGCGCCTGCAACGGGGCCGACTGCATCCTTATCAGCTGCATTCATCGCTGCCAGCAAATCGAAAGCAGCACGTTTTTGCTCCTTTGTCCACATGTTGGTCAACTGTTGTTGTTGTTGTTGTGCTGATTGTGGCTGCTGCTGCTGTTGTTGTTGTTGTGTGGCAGGCAGTTTGGTAGCCAGAGGTGCACGTCTTTGCTTTTCTTGCTGTTGCATTTGTTGTTGTTGTTGCGGCTGCGCCGCTGTCTGTTTGACGCTGCTGCTGGACACTTTGGCTGCGCGACTGAGTCCAAACAGCGATAGTATCGATTTGCGGCGCGTGCTGGAAGCGTGACTATCGCCAGACTCAGTGCTGGACACGCTCATTTGCATGGGCAACACAACTGGAACGGGAACGGGAACGGCAGCTGCAGCTGATTTGCTGACTTTCGCCGGCGACTGGAATGTGACTTTGCGCAGCGTATTGTTGTTGTTGTTGTTGCTGTTGTTGGTAGCGAGGAGCTGCTTGGGCGCCGTGAGCAAAGCCAGATTCATTTTGGCTACCGTTGGCGATGTGTCATTCAGTTCGATGCTGCAATAGGTATCGTCGTGACACCGTATTGCAGCCGGACGTCGCGGCGGCACGGGCGGAATGGATGGAGCAACCAGGCGGCAAGAACATTGCTGCTGCTGCTGCTGCTGCTGTTGCTGCTCCGCCTGCTCCAGCTTGTGCAGGAGTTGCCTTTCCAATTGCTTGAGGCGTTGCTCCTCCGCTTCCAGTTCGCTGGCACGCTGCTCCAGCAGCGATTCCTGTGCGCGTATCGCATGCAATCGCTGCTGCAGTGCATCATCGAAAATATTTTGGGTTATGCGACGCGGACTCGGCTCCCGTTTGATGCTCTCGTAGAGAGCCGGATCCGATTGCTGTAGCTGCTGGTGCTGTTGCTGCTGTTTGCCGTTGGCAAAGATGCGCCGCTTGGCGGAGTAGAAGAGCTCGCTGCGCAAGTCCGGCGTAAAGACGCCCGTAACACTCAAGCGTCGCTGGCCGTAGCCCTCATTGAAGCTATACTGCTCTGTGAACACTGTGCTCGACAGCTCTGGGCTATCCGGAAAGAGTTTACCCATGCCGGGCACATCGAACTCGTCGCCGGCATCGACGAGTGTTGGAAACTGAGCGGATATCTCATTTATATTCCGCACCAGCAAGGGATGGCGTGTGATCACCTCAATGCCCGGCCGTTGTTCATGGTCCACGGCCAACATATAGCCAATTATCGACTGCAGATCCTTGCTATAAACGTCCGGAATGCGACTAAACTGGCCGTGTGCAATATTATCGGAGAGTTGGGCAAATGCCCGCCCCCGAAACGGTGGACGCAATGCACACAGCTCATAGATCAGACAGCCGACGGCCCACACATCGCTCTTCCGATCGTACTTCCGTCCCTTGACTAGTTCCGGACTCATATAGTGCGGTGTGCCCACAAACGAGGCGGCGAAACTCTGTTCCCGTCGCAGGACACGCGCCAATCCAAAGTCACCCAGTTTGACATTGCCGGCAGCATCGAGGAATATATTCGCCGGCTTAATGTCCCGATGCAGAATGGTGCCATTGGGTATTTTATTGTGGCACACCTGCCAGACAAGAATCGAGATCGAGAACGTTAACGAATATATATATATATACCATTAATGCCAATTAATTATATACTAAATTTATAAAAACAATTCTAACTTTAATAGACATTTAACTATAAGTAAAGAATTGTTTAATTATTTCTATTATTTCATTTCAAAAGTGCTGCTATATTTTGTTTTCGTTTATATTCTTCAGTTTTTTTATTTTGACCCCAACTGTGTAAATGTATAAATAGACATACCTGCAGGGCACGGCACAGCTGGAAGAGCACACGCCAAATGTAGGGTTCCTCGAACCGTTGGCGTTGCGTCCGTGCACGCTGAATGAGCTGGGCAAGATCACCGCCGTCACAGCACTCCATGACGATATATATGGATTTGGCTTCGCGGTTCACCAAATGGTGATAGTACTGCACTATGTTGGGATGCTGCAGCTGGCGCAGCACACTGATCTCCGAGATGAGCGACTCACAACGCTCATCGTCCAGGTCGTCGTAGTTCATGCCCTTCCACGCGTACAGGACACCAGTGGTTTTGTCTTTGACCTTGTAACAGGTGCCAAAGGCACCGTTGCCCATCACTGCGAGCACTTCATAATCCTGCAGCGTTTTCTTTGCAAATTCTGGCGACATTTTTGTTGCGGCCTCTTCACTGTTTCTATCCAAGCTCATGCTGAGGCTGCTGCTGATGCTTCTTCTTTTACTTCACTTTATGCGCGCTGTGTTTCGTTGTGTTGTATCTGCCTTGAATGCCGAAAACTAACTGATCTCATGGTTAGTTTGATGGCTTTGCTTTGCTCCTGCAAACGAGTTTCGGCAAAACTCACACACGCACACATACACATATATATATATGCGCACCCACATACACAATATTACCTGCGAAACCTGCACACTACCAAACAAGTGTCGTTGTGTTTGCTGCCTACGCATTAGAGATGAGCAACAATGTCACTGCGACTGTTAATCGATCACAGTGAATATATAAAATGTACACACAGATGTACCATTTGCAGCACACATATGGCAAACGGTCATGCCAAAGTGAGTGAAACGGCGCACACTTGTATCAAAGTGAGCGAGAGAAAAGTTGTACCACTCTTCACAAAACTGAAGAGTCGCAGTGTAACAGTGTTCTACCAAAAATCACAATATTGCTGCTCATCACCAAATGCATATCTTGTTACGTTCCTAGAAGGCAAAGAGAGAGAGAGAGCGAGAACAAGAGCGAAAGAGACAAACACTTTGCAAATCTTGCACGCTGTGTTGTTGGCGGCGCAGTTGCCTTGAGTCTGTGTACAAAATAAAAACCGTTGGATATTTTAAAGGACAAACCGTCCTTTGTGGCGCAGCACGCCCGCAATTTGAAACAATTTTCGATGCCTGTTGCCACACTGACCATAAAAATAAATTACTTTTCTGGCATTGGCATTTCAATTTGTCTGCGAGTGCGTCTGTTATTTCGCTCTGTGTGTGCGTTTGCGATACTCTAGCGGATTATGTTACACACACACACACACACACACACACGCAAATCAAATTTCATTTGCAGATGCGCTTTGCGCTTAGTTAATGTGCATTTGAAATATTGTATCATGTTTTCATTAAGCAGAACACGAACTGCTTGAAATTCTAACGGATTTTGCGCCTCAAATACCCTGTTCACAAAAAGAAAAACGGGCATATTGTGGTAGTAAATTATTGTCTGGCAAATTTTAAGTTTTGGCATTACAACACATACAAGTTAATGTTTACGGAAATATTTTTTTTTTTTCAAGTTTTATGATCGTTATACTGCAGCAACAGAGTATTGGCACAGTCGGTAAATCGCGACCGCATTGGCTGTTCTTTTGAGTGCTGTCTCGCTCGCACTTCAGGTGCAAAAACGATGCTAGCCCCGATTTTCGTGGGTATTCTGAATGTGTGTGTGTGTGTGCTATCTCTCATGACCCAGGTTCAGGTAGAGATGGGACTGGAGAAACGAGTTATCTCCGGCTTATCGTTGGGCCGTGCGTTGATGGTTTTATGGGTTTTCACGTGCAAAGCAAACAATGGTCCAGGCGAACCAACGCAATCCTTCATAAATAAATAAATCAAGCATAGACCATCGTCGAAGGGTGTTTTACAGCGACCGCAAAATGTTAGCTCAGCCAGATTAGTTTGTTGGTTGCTTTCGGCTTATGACAGAGGTACACACAGCTACACAGGTAAGTGCATAAGGCACAATTTGCAGATTCTACGTATGCTGACGTCACAGCTAGCGCAATGTGTATTCTAGTTTAATGGATTCTGATGTGATTTTCACACAGCCATTTTACCGTTTATTTGAAACGACAGTGATAGCAAGACAAAAAAAAATAAAAGAAAAACATTGTGAATGCAAACTTAATGCTAATCACCAGGATGGCGGCTTGTCCTCGGAGCCAGCGGGGCGAGCGTACAATGCCGACTTGTCCCGGAACATGGACATGCGTTCCGTTTCCTTCAGATCCAGAAAGTGTCCAATCGCAAAGCCAAGAAGTGGAAGCGCTGCCCACAAGGCACGTTTATCCAAACCGAGCACCATTTTGTTGCTCTTCTTGTTGTTGTTGTTTTGTGTGTTGTTTAGCTTTGACTTTTTAGCGCTGCGCTTTGAGCTTCCCGCTGCTGTTGGCGTTTCCAGTCGCGTGTGTGGGACCAGTCTGCGTAGATGGAGCCGACTGCAACAGTTGGAAAGAATATCACTGCACCGTACTTTCGCGCCAACTGCGTTATTATGCTACTGCCCATATGAAGGTGTGTGTGTGTGTAAACTGTAAACAAAAACCAGAACAACAAATCAGACATGCAACACGACAATTGTTAGAAGGCCGTCTTTTATTTTTTTTCTTTTTTGTTTTGTTTGTTACGTAATGCAAATGCAAGCAATGGCACTGCCAATGATATTAACGTGTCTGTGCAATGCAAAACAACTGCTTACTCAGTGTGCACACAAGACAAGTGGCACATTCGTTTCCAATAGTTTTTAGGTGGTGTTTAATGCAGCAAATTTTGCCAAATTCGTTGTTATTGTTGTTATTACCTTACGCTTATGCAAACGCCTTGCCGACTAGAGATGTTGACTACGTAACGATATATGTATATCGATAGTTGCGCATTAAAACTTAACGACACACGAATAGTATCGATACTTTGCATAAATAACTTAAGTATAGTCTAGCTTCAATAAATGAAACAAATATTTTGTTTTTGTTTTGCAGGTGCTATAAAATGTGTGACATAAGCAGCAAGTCATGACAATTTTATAATTCCACAAGTTGCAGACTTGTCTTCGTTAAGTATTTGAAACAGCTGTTGCACAACATGGGATGTTATTAATCGTTGCCAATCGATGCATTGTTGACGACCGCGTGAAATGACGATAACGGATGACGATAACGATAAATACTGTCAATACAAATTTGCCGGCGCGGCGACAACTGAGCCGGCATTTTACGAACGAGATTTCCAATAGTGTGTTGATAAATTGATAAGTTGGTGATTGCTTTGTTTGTTAGTTGCTGTTGGTGTTGAACGCGCGCACGCGACTGCTTGTGCATGTAAAATAAGATCGATCGCAAATCTGGATGCATGCAATGAGATGATAGCCGTCTCAGAGCCGCCACTGGAATTCGTTCCCCGCGGTCGTCAGGCGGCTGAGGAGCATCCCGGCCCCTCCGAACCGACGCTGCCCAAATTTTTACCCGCCGAGCATTTGCTATTGCAGCGCCTGCAAAACGTCAACATCTCGGCCGCCAGCAAGGAGCCCCAAGAGTTTTGGTCCATACGCGAGATCTACGACGATTACGAGGCGAGCTATGCGCGCGCCCAGCGTCGCCAGCAATTGATTGAGCAGACAAAGAAATGTGGCCCCAAAGCGGCAGCTGCCACCCAGCTGACATCGCTGCCGCAGCAGCTATTGCAACCGATACAGATGCATCGCGAGGATCCCATGTGCGATTACTTTGTGAACAACGAGGAGGAGCTGTATGTGAACAAGAATACGGTGATCTGGACGCAGGGCCTGAACGATGACGATGATGGGGTGCATCGACGCATGTGCTTCACCTGCGATACGCCGGTGAAGTTTGCCTGCTTCCTCAATCGTCGCTTCGTTCGCGGCCGCTTGGCCCAGCTGCGAGCGGCTGTTCAACCGGATGAGGATCACTTAACCGCCATTTGTGTGGTGGATCAGGATGCGTTGCGTGTCTATTGTGATGATGGCGAAGATTTTCTCGCCAATCTCGATTTTCCCGTCTCACATCTGTGGCAAACTGTGCACGGTCTGCTATTGGAAAAGGATTCGGGCAATGCTCTCGTCTCCCACACGGTATCCATACCGATGCCCCGGCTCTTCTCCATGTCGCATCCATTGCACGAGGCGTGTCCCGTTGTGCTTAAGACCAGTCGCAAAGCGACCGGTTATATGACCGAACCCGAATACAGCGTCGTCTTCACCGCCGAAGATTCGGATCTGGTGTTGCTGTACGATGCCAAGTTCTTCAAGCATTTTGTGGCACGCCTGCGCAAAGTGACGCCTGAGGAGGTCAACAATGTTAGCCAGCAACAGGAGCTGCTCAGCCAGACGCTGCAAGGACATCGCGACGGGGCTGCCACCAGTGGCATCAACAGCTTCAGCTCCACCAAACTGACTGGAGGTGCTTAACTTACCCCATATACAATTATAATATATATATACATATATATATGTATATATCTTTTCTATGAAGAATTAATTTGTTCCATTTGCAGCGACTACCAAGTTGAGCGCCACATCGTTGCTGGGGCGCAACAATAATGGGGCAACGTCTGTTAACAATTTCTCTCGATTCGGACTCAGTCAATCGCAATCCTTCAGCGGCGTTCTGGGCCAGTCCAAGTGAGTTACTCGCATACCGATTAGACACGATTAGTGATAGAGTGATCCTTATTCGTTTACAGTCGCGCCTTGTTGGGCACACCGCTCAGCCAGCTGCAGAACAGCATCAGTCAGCAGTCGATGTCCATCAAGGATATGCGCAAGATAACCCATGTCAAGCCGGCAAAGCCCATTGAGCCGGAGATGTGCTTGGAGCACATCTGGACGGAGAATACCTATGGCACGTAAGTTGATGTGAATGGTTACTCAAACCTAACCTAATCTTGGAGTTGATCAGATCAGTTTGACTTTTATTTGTTGCTGTTGTTTGTCTTTTGCAGTCAACGCGAATTCTGCGAGATGGCAACGCGAGCGTTCATCCACACGGATCTGGTTGGGCAGACGTATCTGTGCTATCTGCTTGCCCGCTCCTGCCGCCTGCAGCTGGTGCTGCTCAATGGCTACGACACGGATGAGCCGCTGCAGCTGTCCACTTTGGCTGCGACGCTGAATGCAAAGGATGCCGTCGGATTGCCACGATTGCATATGATAGCCGTATTGGATCCGGGCGGCAGTTTGATACTCTACACGGGCACTGTGCTCATCTCCAAGGTGCATATAACGCCCCTGCTCACACGAACGACGCCCGCTGTCCATGTTCAACTGGCCACACCACCACCACCACCTCCACCGGCTGTGCCAGTGCCAGTGCCAACGACGACTGCCACGCCCACAGCGACAGGAACAGCCGGATCGCATCTAAAGAGCACCACAACAACAAGCAGCTCATTTGGGGAGGTGCGTCGCAGCAGTCTGCTGCCAACGATAATTGACGCCGATTTCAATGCGTTCGACGAGGAGCTGCACATGTTGTCACCGATTGCGCCGCAACCGATCTCCTATACGCAACGGCAGGCGCATAACGTGTGCAAGGCGCTCCGTGATCCGGCCGGGAATCGCTTGACCCTCGTCTATGCGACGGGACGCATGCTGCGCATCTCGTTGCCGCTGCTCAACGATACACGCTTGATAACACGCTGTGTGGCCGTGTTGCGGCAGGTGTTGAATCCCGGACAGTTTCTGCACTTTATCATACGCTGGTATAGCGCACGGAATCCGCCCGGTTCGAGGGACTACAGCATCGAACAGGAGTGGCAGCTGTTTCGTAGCACGCTGCTCAGCCTGATGGGTTGCATGGCGGGCACGGCAACAGCGGCCACAGCGGCGACAACAACAACAGCAGCAGCAGCGACCCCATCATCATCCGCTGAAATGAGCAACGAATTGGGTGGAGACGCCTCCGTCACTGCATCGGCCACAGCGTCTGCCTCCGCCTCCGCTGCCTATGTGGTGGATGGTTGCTCGACGCCGCCGCTGCAGCCGCAGCAGCAACATGAGTTGGGCTTTCAGGATGATGAGCCGCTGAAGCGACGCAAGTACAACGATTGTGAGTCGTACACCGATGAGGATTGGGAATTCCTGCTGCTGCAAACAACGCTCACATCCTGTCTGCACGACTCACCGCACATGTACAGCGTGGATGTGACGGCGCCGCTCTTCTGCTCCCTGCCAGCCATATTCTATGGCCTCCATTTGCTGTACGAGGATCTCAAGCTCGACACTATCTTCCAGAGCGGCCTCAACTACCTGGCAACGGTGAGTTGAACTCGACCCGAACGAAGCACCTCCTTTCGATGTCCAGCTTAAGTTTGACAAGCATATTTATTGGGGATCAATGGGCATCAGCTGGAATAGTAATTTGAGTCGAATTAGCTCTGCAGATCCGTTTAAGAACAAGGCATAAATAAAGGGATCTTCCAACTTCTCTGAGCGTCTCTGCAAACTTCCCCTAATCTCAAATAATATCTTTGCAGTTCCTGCATCAGCTGGCCATCGATATGCAGTTGGACAGCTATATTTTGCACTATCATCTGGACTTTCCGGAGCTGACACAAAAGACAACGAAGCTGACAATGCTGAGCGAGGAGCATGGCGCCCAAATGTTGTACCAGGAACTGTTGCGGATGCCGGCGCCCAGCATCTATGCGCAGCTGGAGCATGTGCTGCGCGGCAGGGAGGAGGTGGCACCCTACAGCTATGTGGAGTGCATCAATGAGCGCAGCCGGAATGTGGTTCAGCTCATCTCGCTGGTGATGCATGGCCACCACAAGCTGAAGCACTGGTGGCATCTATTGGAGCACTTTGGCGCCGTCCAGTCCAACTATCCGAAGCGACCCAAGCGCAGCATCTCAGCGGATGTGCCGCGTTGCCATCAGGTGATCGAGCTGCTGCTGTGCATGCAAATGACGCGACGGGATATTACCCGCCTGCCGGCTGCAGTGCATCTGGTGCTGGCGGAGGCGCTCGAACGGGCACGTCTGACGCCGCCCGTCGGCAGCAGTTGGGCTGCCTATGAATTGATTTTGCGGCCCGAGTTGGCGGCACACGCACAACTGCCATTCCTGGAGACGACCATTGGGCAGCCGCACTGCGGGCGTGTGTACAAGGAGGATTCGCTGTCGCCACGCCTGGCGCCGAGCAGCGGTGAATTGCCGATGCCCGAACCGGATGCGGATCATTTGCGACACGATGGCATGGATAATATGGATACGAAACTGTTGCGTCTACGCTTCCCAGACGATATGCGCGTGGAGGAGGTGCGTCGCCTGCTGAACAGCGCCGATCCGGTATCGATTGAGGTGCAACAGTCGCCGGGCACCAGCGATCACGAGTTCATCGAGGAGCAGGAGAAACAATTGTTTGCCTACTGTGCACGCACCATGACCTTGCCACTGGGCAGGGGCATGTTCACGTTGCGCACACTGCTGCCTCGTCCCAGCGATAATATGCCCATGCCCAAGCTATGCCTGGCCGGACGTGAGCCCGTCAAGGGCACCACCATTGAGATGCAACAGATCGAGTTTCCGGCCAATATGCATCAGTGGCCATCGTTTCACAATGGTGTCGCCACCGGCCTAAAGATATCGCCGCAAGCGCAGGACATCGATTCCACGTGGATTGTGTACAACAAACCGAAAACGCAGGCCAACAATGGCCTGGAACATGCCGGCTTCCTCATGGCCCTGGGACTGAATGGGCATCTGCGCTCGCTCTCCTTCATGAGCATCTTCAAGTATTTGGTCAAGTGTGATGAGATGACCAGCGTTGGCCTGTTACTGGGCATTTCGGCTGCCCATCGCGGCACCATGGACACGAAGACAACGAAGTTGTTGAGTGTCCATCTCGAGGCACTGTTGCCGGCCACCGCCATGGAGCTGGACATACCGCAGAGCACACAAGTGGCCGCCCTCATGGGCATTGGTTTGTTGTATCAGGGATCGGCGAAGCGGCACATTGCCGAGGTGCTGCTGCAGGAGATTGGCCGGCCGCCGGGCCCCGAAATGGAGAACAGTGTCGAGCGGGAATCGTATGCGATGACGGCGGGCTTGGCACTGGGCCTTGTCACGCTCGGACAGGGTGAATCGCCGGCGGGATTGCGTGATCTCCAATTGCCCGATACGCTGCATTATTATATGGTTGGCGGTGTCAAGCGACCGATTGGTGGCTCCCAGAAGGAGAAATATCGCCTGGCCTCGTTCCAAGTGCGCGAGGGCGACAACGTCAACATCGATGTGACCGCACCGGGCGCCACTCTGGCGCTTGGACTGATGTTCTTCGATTCGGGCAATGAGGCGATTGCCGAGTGGATGCGACCGCCCGACTCACGCTATCTGCTCGACATGGTCCGACCCGATTTCCTGCTGCTGCGCACCATTGCACGCGGCCTAATCCTGTGGCAGCAGGTGCAGCCGGATAACGATTGGTTCCAGGCCCAATTTCCGCACAGTCTGCGACCCCATCTCCGATTGCCGTCGCGCGAGGAGCAGACGCCCGAGGACAGCGATGTCGACTACGAGGCCATCACGTAAGCAACTCGAACATCTCTAAATACATATATATATATATATATATATTCCTGATCAGCATTAACAGTCGAACAGTCAGTCGGTCTTTCTCTCTGTCTCCGTCTTCGTTTTTATGTGAACTACTTCCTCAGTTTTGATTAGACGCCGATTGAAGGTTCATTTTGGTTAGATTGGTTGCCTGCCAGTGCTGGGAAATGCCATTTTCGATGCAGTTGAAACAGTTTTTTTTTTAATTAAATTAAATTAATTAACTAACAACTGATGAAGCTGAAGCTGAAGTTGATGTTGTCTTTGTAAATTACCTTTGCCTATTGTAATAATTAGCTGATGGAAGAGCTATAGGCTCAGAAGGGGGCATAATAGATCAAAAAGGTCGCGGTGCAGCTTCCTTCCCAATAATAATAATAATTGTAATAATTATAATAATCGCTTATCTTTTTTTGTTCTCTTTGCTTATCTAATTTTGTGTGTGATTCACAGCCAGGCGTATTGCAACATTTTGGCTGGTGCCGCATTCTGCATTGGCTTGAAATATGCCGGCACTGAGAATCCATTGGCATTTGCCACACTGCGTGCGGTCATCAAGGAGTTCCTCGGCTTTCCGGGCACACCGATGGGCGAGTGTGCCGGCCGCACCACAATCGAGAGCTGCCTGATGGTGTTGCTCATCTCGATATCGCTGGTCTTTGCCGGCTCCGGCAATTGCGAGATATTGCGTATCATTCGCTATCTGCGCTCCCGCGTCGGACCACAATATCCGCACATTACGTACGGCTCCCACATGGCAATACATATGTCGCTGGGCCTGCTCTTCCTCGGCGCTGGCCGCTACACCATCGCCAAGACACCCGAATCGATAGCGGCGCTCGTCTGCGCCTTCTTTCCCAAGTTTCCCATTCACAGCAACGACAATCGGTGAGCATATTTGAGCCAATTATTATTGCTGGTCTAAGGATTTAACGTTGGATTAACTTTGGATTTGTTGTTTGCAGTTACCATCTGCAGGCACTGCGTCATCTGTATGTGCTGGCTGTGGAGCCGCGTCTGTTTCTGCCGCGCGACATCGACACGCATCAGTTGTGTTTGTGCAACATTTCGGTGCTGGAGGTGGGCGCCAATGTGATGCGTCGCCTGCCTATCGCACCGTGCATCCTGCCCGAGCTGAGCACCCTCGAACAGGTCATTGTCGATGACGAGAACTATTGGCCGGTTTGCTTTGAGCGTTCGCGCAACTGGCATCAACTGGAGAAGGCACTGGAGCTGTGCGCTCCAATCGATATTAAGAAGCGCACCGGTTGCCTATCCCATCTGGAGGATCCGGATCGATTGAAGAGCATGCTCGCCCAAACCCTAACCATGGAGCAGAGCATCTGCTGGCAGGTGGATGTCAATGATCTGCAACAGTTTGCCAGCGAGCGACTGGTCAAACCGTTTCTCAATCGATTTCTGGACACCAAGGGCACCTCGCTCAGCTATGTGGAGCTGAGCAAGCGGCATCAGTTGATGTTGCTCTTCTACAATGCTGTGGTCAATGATCGAATGCATCTGCTGCCAGTGTATTTAACGCTGTTCGATCACGTCACCAAGAAGATGGCCAACAACAATGATGTGTGGCAGGTGAAGCTGCTCGATGCGTATTTGTGTGGCAGCCGTATTGTGGGGCAGCCAATCGAGGAGCATAGCCTAATCTCTGTGGATCTCATACAGATGATGCAGGAGATGTTCAAGCTGCAGGTGGAGGACTGGACGAGTGAACAGTGCCTGGCATTGCGCGAATATCTCAGCCAGAAGCGACTCGAGCCCAGTTTTGTGGGCAGCATCAGTGCGCAGGATTTGCAGCGTGTCTTCTGCATCATCAACTATTTCAATCTGATGCCGAATCTGTTGAGTAACGTTGACCTGAGCGCCGGTCCCGTCAACTATTTGCGCATCATGCTCGAGTTCAACAAGTTGCAGCTGAGTCCGCACACCATTTTCGGACTACTCAAAATCTTTCAGGCGCTGGCCAGCATCTGTGACTCCGAGGATGGTGATGGTGATGGTGATGATGTTGATGATGCTGATGCTAAAAAGGAGGAGGACGAGGACGAGGACGAATCTGTTTGAATCTGTTATCGCTGCGCTGCTCTCTACAGCCGTTATCGATTATGTTATCGTTTTACATACAGCAGCAATTGCGCATTTATCGTTGCTGCAACTGAAAACTGCCTTGCAACACTGAGATTTACCAATTAGAAATCTAATTACATATATATATATATATATATATGTAATAATAATACAAATAAAAATCAAAATCAATGAAATTAAATGCTTTAATAATCGATTAATGATTTGCTATCGAATACATTGTCAAAGCTGCTGTTTTACAGAAACCTTGCGACTGAGATTTACACTTGAAATTGTTGCCAATTCGAAATAGATATATGTATATATATATAGGCGATTTACATGTTTATAACAATAACACAAACTACGCAATTGCTTATAGCCTCTCAGCAGAGGCTTACCCATCCCATTTTGCTAGACTTTCAAACAATTCGCTGGCGCTCCGAGCCGGGTAATTCCTCGACGCCCAATTTGACGCGACGCAAGCGTTGATATAGATAGATGCCCATCAGTGGCAGCGGCGTCATAATTGCCACGGATACCGGCACCACTGTCGTCAGATCCGCCTGCGGCTGTGGCAAGGTGGTGCGCAGAAAGAAGATCGCAATTCCCGTATTCTGGATGCCCGTCTCGATGGCAATTGTTAGCGCATCGGCTGCATTCTGGTTCAGCAGCTTCGCCGCCAGCCAAGCGATAGTATAGCCCAATAACGGTAAACATAAGCCAGCCACGGCAATCTATCAACGAAAGACAGAGACAGACAGAAGAATGTGAGTGAAAGAGAGAGAGAGAGAGAGAGAGAGAGAGAGAGAGAGAGAGAGAGAGAGAGAGAGATTTAGTGTTTTATTACGATTATTCATGTTTGCATAAGTTGGAGGAAGAACCTTAAATCCAAAAAGTTCTTTGATGTATATAAAAAAAACGATTCAAAGACCTTTTTTATGGAAATAAAAAATATTAAATTGTTTTCAAATGGAAGAGTATTAAAAAACAAATTAAGAATATTTTTAATAAATTGAGGACATTTCATGAGAAATAAATTACTTAAATTTATTAATAATAGCAGCACTTTTCAAATAGCAATTATAATTATTAAAGTTAAAGTCTATTCAAGTTAGGATTATTATACAAATTCATGTCTAGTTGGAAGAGCCGGATTTGTAGCAGCTCATTCCAAATCCAAAATACTCTCATTTGTCCCGGAAATGTTCCCAGAATTATTGGACTGTCCTTGCGAAAAAAGGCAACTATCCTTCAAATAATCTTCTCTGAGCCAATTTTGCCCTGACCCAGTCAGATTGAAGTAATCTTTTTTAGCTCTGGAAAGGATCAATTTTGCTCTCTTTCTTTATAGTTTATAGTTTCTTCTCTTTCCAATTTTTCAATGAATATCATTTTTTTTGTTTAGTTTTGCACTTTTCTTTACTGCTTTGTGCAAAACATTATTTTGATCATTTTGGATTTAGAATAATAAATAATAACACAAAAAAAAAAAAATATATATATATATATATATATATAAGTGTTGCAGGGTATATATAGAAATGGAAGAGATTTGTGAGATTTTGTTTTGGGTTCGGTTAGCGCTCACCTGCCACGAGAAGAGCTGGAACAGATAGAAGTTGGTGACGATCGCAAAGATGACAATGAAGAGGATGAGGCAGGCCGAGATGGGCTTGAGCAGGCGAACGAGCCAGTGTGCCACGCGTGGCAGACAGCGTTGTATGGCCAGACCGATGAATAGTGGCACAATCAGACTGCCACAATATGTGGCAATTTTGCCATATGGCACCTGCATGCCCGCCCTCTCGAAGATCAGCTGACCCAGCGTGAATATCCACAGTGGCATCGTGCCAAAGGCGGCCACATTGCTAACGGTTGTCATCAGCACCGACAGATTGATGTTGGCATTCAACACCGCCGACCAGGTGTTGGAGGCGCCACCACTTGGCGCAATGCCCGTAAAGAACAGGCCCAACTGCATCGCTGGCGATTCCGGGAATACAAAGATGCCCAACGCATAGCTGAGCAGCGGCATGCCCAGCACCTGGGTGATGAACCCGATGCAGGGACCAACCGGACGCGTTATCAAACCCTGCAGCACCTCCACATTGAGGGCAGCCCCAAAATTGATGTACACCAGCGACATCAGCAATATGATCGAGCCAACGAACACATGATCGATGATCCGTTCCGGGCGGAGCACCTGTGCCACCAGCTGGCTGCTGTCGCTGTTGTTGGCGCTCTGACTGCTCCGGTTCGTCCACGCATCCCACAGGCGCACCGAGATGCGTGCCTCGCCCAGAAAATGTCCATCGATTCGAATGCGGCCCGTCCAACTGTTCAGCGTTGCGTGCAACGGAATTGTGGCATTCTCTGGTGCAACGCTGGCCAAATGCGGATCATCGCTGATCAGGCGAAAGCTGTAGCGATTTGCGCTCGACCCAAGTTCGCTGGGTATATCCCAAAGATGCAGTTCGACTTCAGCGCTTGTCTCCATTTGCAGATGCAGCGAGGCGGGCTTAAAATGCGCCTGCCAACTTTCTGCTGGCAACGCCAGTTGGCCAACGATCAGCATGAATGCTAACAGCAGCACTCCCATTCGCATCATGATCAAAATGTAACTGAAACAATCTCTTCAATTATCTCGCGTAATCGACAAAGAAACACAAAACAGGTACACACACAGATACATGCATGCGAACGTGCTTGGCATGTAGCTTGCAAGCGAGAGCGAGATCGAGCTACAGTTGCGAGCTTTGCTGCTCTCTTTCGCTAAGAGAGAGTCGGTATCACAACAGCAACAGCACAGAAACTGCACTGTAGAAACAGAGTTTTAACAGCGCTTGCTGCTCTTTTTCCCCCTCTAAGAGAGAAGTCGGTATCACAACAGCAACAGCACAGAAACTGCACTGTAGAAACAGAGTTTTAACAGCGCTTGCTGCTCTTTTTCCCCCTCTAGGAGAGAGAGTCGGAATCACAACAGCAACAGCACAGAAACTGCACTGGAGAAACAGAGTTTCAACAGCGCCTGGTGCTCTTTTTCCCCCTCTAAGAGGGAGAGTCGGTATCACAACAGCAACAGCACAGAAACTTCAATGTAGAAACAGAGTTTTAACAGCGATTGCAGTTCTTCTTTTCGAAATTACAACAACAACAGCAACAAGACTTCAATTTAAAAAAAAAAGTGTGTTGACAGCGTATTCAAAGGCGAGCTTTACAGCTGCTCTTTTCACTCTAAGAGAGCGAGAGAGAGTCGGCATCACAGTAAACACAACAAATAAATGTAAATGCAGTGTGCAATTTAGACAGCAATTTCTCAAACGAAATGAATTGATGTTATGTATGCATTGCACATCTGTCAACGTGTGACGTCAACCTAGGCCAACAGCAGTCGTCAATAGCAGCAACAGCAACAACTCTCAACGAAATTGGTAAGTTTCCGCTAGTGTGACGCAGTTGTAAACATACTACTCTCCCTCTCTCTCTCTCTCTCTGTCTCTCTGTCTGTTTCTTACATTTAATGCTGCAATTTAGATATGAGCGAGAGAGCGACAGCAACAGCAACAGGTAATTTAGCGTGTCTGTGGCCGCAATTAAAAGAGAAGAGAACAATATAGTTACATGCATGGTGTACAGCTGTTAAAAGTTTTGCGTGTCTGTCTGAACGATCAACGATTAACCGCAACTTTACTAAATATTTAATGCAATCTTCAGTTGCAGCTATGCAGAATGGAATATATAAAAACACCGGCAACTGGCAAAAGAGGAAGCTGCTTAATCGGTGATTAGTGATCAGCTTGTGTATATTTACAGCATGCATGCGCGCACACAGCTAGCCATTAATTAACATGCATGTCTATGTGGGTTTACATCTGTTAATTATGTACAAGGAGCAAGAAGCAGAAAAGAGTTTAATGCGTCGATTTTTGAAATAATAAGAAAACCATAGATTAAAATGAAAATAAATAAATGCATGTGAGTAGATTGCTTCAAGCTTTGATTTTATTATTATGGCTTGCGATAAATGCAAAAAAGAGAACTAAAAAGATAACCACAGGAATTGGGGGATTTGTACTGGAATTGAAGTTGTTCTTGTTGAAATTCACTTTAGTATCCTTTTTAGTATCTGTAATGATCGGGCTTGAAGGGACCCGTCTTGGGGACACCAAGATAGGCGGCCTGCTTGTCGGTCAGCTTGGTGAGCTTAACGCCCAGCTTGTCCAGATGGAGGCTGGCCACCTCCTCGTCGAGCAGCTTGGGCAGGACATGCACCCCAATCGCATACTGTTCCGATTTCGTCCACAGCTCAATTTGGGCCAACACCTGATTGGTAAACGAATTGGACATGACGAAACTGGGATGACCATGGGCACAGCCCAAATTGACGAGTCGCCCCTCGGCAAGCAGGATGATATGGCGTCCATTTGGCATCGTATACCGATCCACTTGTGGCTTCACAGTCACCTTGGACTTGGCATTGGTGTTCAGCCAATCGACATCGATCTCACAATCGAAATGCCCGATATTGCAGACGATGGCATCGTCGGGCATGTTGAGCAGATGGGTCGATGTGATGATGTCGCGACATCCAGTCGTTGTCACATAGACGGACGCCTCCTTGCTGGCCTCCTCCATGGTGGTCACCTCGTAGCCCTCCATTGCCGCCTGCAATGCATTGATCGGATCGACCTCGGTGACGATGACACGACCGCCGAATCCCTTCAGTGCCTGGGCGCAACCCTTGCCCACATCCCCATAGCCAGCGACGCAGCAAACCTTGCCGGCAATCATCACATCCGTTGCCCGCTTAATGCCATCGATCAGCGACTCCCGGCAACCATATAAATTATCAAATTTACTCTAAAACAACAGATGATATATATATATATACATGGATATAGATATAGATAAGTGTGGAAAGGAGATGGAGAATTTACCTTGGTCACCGAATCGTTGACATTGATCGCTGGTACACCGAGTTTGCCGTCCTTGAACATCTTGTAGAGATTGTGGACACCAGTCGTTGTCTCCTCGCTGAGACCCTTGATGCCCTTCAAATAGTTGGGGAAACGTTCGTGGACCAAATTGGTCAGATCCCCACCATCATCCAGTATCATGTTCAGGGGCTGGCCATCGGGAAAGACGAGCGTCTGCTCAATGCACCACATGTACTCCTCATCGGTTTCCCCCTTCCACGCATAGACTGGCACGCCAGTTGCCGCAATTGCCGCCGCTGCATTGTCCTGTGTGCTGAATATGTTGCAACTGGACCACTGCACCTATAGTTTAGCACCAACAACACACAAAATGCAGAATGAGTTAAGGATTAGCATTTGAAAGACAAAAAAGCGACTTGTTTTTTTTAGCATATCAATCGGTTTCCTCTAATCTTGGCCTGAGGGGGGTCAGCTCTCTGAACCCACCCAAAAAAAAATACGAAAAATGAGAGATTAGTTGTTATCAGCACGCCTTGAACTCCAAGTGCGACCTCCGAGCATCAAAAATAAACATTTTTGTCAACAACAAAAGCCGAAAAGATTTTGAGATAATGCAGCAAACTGAGGCACATGGCAAAGTGTTGATAAAGATGCTGTTAGAGATGCCCCTTCCCACATGGCAACGAGCAGCGCATTGATAAAGATGTTGCTAGAGATTAATCAGCCTATTTCCCTCCCCTTCCTATTTCCCCCCACTTTCCCTGAATGCTGCTGCTTAAAGATGTTGTCGGTTGCCCTCCCACATGGCAACCGATTGACAGATGTTGCTAGATATTCCCCTGCCCGTTCCCATTCCCCTTGCTGCTTACTTGGGCGCCCAGCTCGACGAGGGTCTCGATGAGTACGGCCGTTTGGACGGTCATGTGAAGGCAGCCGGTGATGCGGGCACCCTTAAGGATCTTGGACGGGCCGTATTTCTTGCGGCACGCCATCAAGCCGGGCATCTCGTTCTCCGCAATGATGATCGCCTTGCGTCCCCATTCGGCCAGACCGATATCGGCTGTAGATCACATATATATATATAGTACAAATATAACCTCAGCCACAAAAAAAACATGTGCGCCGAATAAACACGTACAATACACATATATATTTATATATGTATATATATATTGTGCCTGTTGCGCTGCATATTTATTTATAACTCACCAACTTTATATGCAGGCTTGGAGTTGGACATCTTGCTGGTTTAGTCTTATTTCGTATTATCACGAAGGAAGAAGAGGAGCTGAACGATGGCAGGCGACGACTGACGACCGTATTGACAACGCGCGCAACGTTAAGTGACCAAATCTATATATTTTAAGATCGTATGAAATGTGCGAATCTATCGACCTATCGATTTCAGCCGCTTATCAGAGTTGCTAAATTGTTTAATTTACGATCTAAGTGTCGTGCAATAGTTGCATATAGTATCGATAAATCGGTAAACGTACGCACAAGCAGCCCTGCGCTAACTATCGAACGAAAATAATCAACAAAACTCAACAATCGTACGTACGTACAAACAACTACAGAACATAAAAAAATAAGCAGAAAAACAGTTAAAAATGAATAGAATACGTAAAACACAACTACAAATGTGAAAAAAAAAAACAAAAAATCAACGCACCCCATATTCGATAGTTGATTGGGTTAGCAGCACTGGTGGAATTTGGTGCATATAAATGTCAGTTGTGCCCCACACAGAGATATCGGCGCCATTTTATTTCTCGTCGCTCGTTGCTCGCCACTCGCTGAACGATTATCCGCTACTCGCAGCAATTGGCACACACGCGTTTTCCAAATCGTGGTTTTTTTCGACCTCCGTTTATTTTTTTATAGTGTGCAAATCGAACAAACTAATTGATCAAGCCACAAATTCACAACACACACATAGTGCTAATAAACAATGCAAATGCGACAGTGCTCACTCTGCCCACAGAATTAAATTGAATGCGTGCGTGTGTTGCGTGTTGCTATTCTTTTCTTTTTTTTTTTTTGATTGTATGTGCCGAACGCAAAGTACGAAAGCGACGCATAATTCGACCGCAACGCGACGTTGATGTCCATTTGTGAGTGTGCGTGCGTTCATGTGTGTGTGTGCAATAAAATAAAACAAATAAAGCAACAACAAATACAACCAAGTGCAAAAGACACAAAAAGAAATAGAAATAGAAGAAAAACACTCACACATACACACACACAGAATATATTGTCAGCAAATCAAACAGGGAAAGGCAAGGCTGCTGCTGCGCGCGCGTGTGTGTATGTGTGTGTGCGTGCGTAAAACAGACAAAAGAGGCGCGCGCGGCGTGCAATGCGCTAAAAAAGCAATAACAGGCGGGTGAGGAGGGGTAAGTGTGTGTGTGTGTGTAGCGGCGTGGCTCAAAAAGCGAAAAAAAACTACAATTTATGCATATTTGTACATTAATTTGGTGTAAACCATAATTTAATTTTTAAATTCGATATATATATAAATAGTTCAACTAGTTTCATATTTATTTGTTGCAGTGCAAGGCCAATCGACGTTGCAACAGTGTGGCCGCTTCATTTTTAGTGTTACTTTTTTTATTTTTTTAATTTCGCATTGTTGCATTTTGTGTGTGCGTGCGAGTGTGTGTGCGTGTGTGAGTGAGTGCCGAGTGCGACCGGTAAAATTCCAATAATGTCTGCATATGAGGATGGCCAACCGCAACGGGAACAACAGCAACAACACCACCAAAATCAGCAGCATCTGCATCAGCAGCAAGAGCAAGAACAAGAGCATTCACCGTTATTACGCTCTTCCTCCATGCACAATGACCACGTGAGTACAGCAACACTCAATCACTATCCACAATAGATGGCGCTAAACTTGAATTTTAACTTTGCAACTTCTTTGTTTCATTTCGTTGTTTTGTTTTGCTTGCAGTCGATCATTGGCAAGGTTAAATCGTGCGTCAAGGGCATAATACCCAATTCGGTGACCAAATGGTTCTCACCATCTCCGTCGAATGACAATACGCAGCTGCAGCAGGAGCAACAGGAGCAGCAGCAATCAGCGTCGTCATCGCATCATCATCATTATCAACAGCAGCAGCTGCAGCTGAATGGAAGGATGTCGCAGCGTAGCATATTGAAACGGCGACGCATTGCTTTGGATGATGCGCCCGATGTGTCCATAATGGACGATGGCACCGAAGCTACGGATCTGAATGATGAGGAAGTTCAGTTAGCTGATAATATAGCCGAACATGATCTGGCTGCCGAGGATGAGTTAACGCGTCGCAGTGAATATAATGTTAGCCTGTTACGCAATCGTCAACAGCAGCTGATTGCGACGGCTAACGCTCATAATAATAATAATAACAATGATAATGATAATGATGATGACGATGATGACGACGACGATGACGATGATGACGAGGAAGATGCCGAGGCTGAAGCCGAAGCCGAAGCGGACGAGAACAACGACGACGACGACTATGTCGAAGCGCAATTGCCAAAGCGACGACGTTATGAGGTATTCAATCAAGTCCAAATACAATTTCAATTAGATCTCAAATTATTAACAACTTTTGCCTGTCTGTGTTGGAAAACGGCGACTATCCACTATGGTCACCCTAAGCATACTTAATACTTGTGATGGTCAGCCCAATCCAACTTGGAGCTTAGTTAGCTAGCTATATATATATATATAGACAGAGAGCATATGTATTCCTGATCAGTCGTCTGTCTATGTTGGTTTCTTTACTGGTTTGGTTAAAGTTGTTGCTCTCCCTTTTTTTGCAGCCAACAATTGAACAATTGGCGTCCAGTGGTGCTCCTCGTTCGTTGAATGCAACGCAACAACAGCAACGGGACATCACGCGTTGTCGTCGTCCACCGCTGCATGCCTCGACACCCGCCTCGAGCGATGCACTGCGTCGCCGGCAGCGTGAGCCCGCCTACAATTTCCTCGCCATGACCGGCGGTACGAACGGCAACAGCGATACGGCTGCTGTTGCCACCAGCGGCGATTTGCCGACCAGGTGAGTAGCTGCTCCTATATTATATATATATATATATATGTATGTATATGCAACACATTATAATTATTATGATTGCTGTGTTTTTTTTGTTTTTGGACTAGTTCAAGACGCACGCTGAACATTGAGCCAATGACTCATCGACGCGATATATCGCTGAGCAGCTACAAGCGACACAATCTTCAAAATTATCGCCGGCCTGCAATGCCAAATAAGCGTGACACCATCATCGAGCAGGCCACCGACGAGGAGCAGCAACAGCAGCAGCATCAGGAGGATCAGACAAACAACAACAACAACAATAATAATAATAATGTTAACAAAAATAACAATGATAATATTTATACGAAACGAGGAGTTGCAGGAGCTGGACTTGGAGGTGGTGGCGGTGGTGGCACCGATTCTCACTCAGAGTGCGGCAGCAGTGAGAGTCAGGCGGGTCTGCGCAGCAACATCAACTCATTGTTCTATGCCAATCTGCAGAGTCGCAAATCGATATTCAATTCAACAGCAACTGGAACAGGAATAGGAACAACAATGCCGCCGCATCATAATTCAACATTATCACTCAATTCGCTGCCGCCGCGTCGTCGTTTCAATGCCTTCATTTATGGTAGCTTGTCGGCGCTAAGCGATAGTCGCCTCCTCAGCAGCAATCGGGGCAATCCGATGTCATCGGCATCATCATCAACGAATGTCGCCGCCAACGAGTCACCGTTCTATCCAGGACCAACAGCATACGGTGGTGCGTCTGCCAATAATCGCCACTACAGAAACAAACTGATCAACAGCAGCAGCTGCAGCAACAACAGCAGCCTCAATCGCTCCGGCGGCAGTTCGCCAGCGTTGGCCTACAGCGACAACAACAACAGTACAACGCGTCTTTGGAATGGCAACGGCATCGAGGCAGTTGTAATGCGACCAAAAACCGTCAACAGCACCAGCAGCAACAACAACAATAATCCTAGCAGTAGCAGCAACAACAGCAACAGTTGTTTTCCGTATTTATCGCAGACAACACAGCGTATACTCAACTTGATGCAGAATCATACAACGCCACTGATGGAGGCAAGAAAAATGGGCAATGCTCTGCGCGAGCATCAGCAGCAGCGTCTCAATAGGATTGCCTGCAAGCCCTATTCATATACAACAACAGCAGCAGGCGCACACAACAACAGCAACATCAGCAGCAGCAGCATTGCCGAGTCCAAATCGCTGGTGCCCACTATGCTCAAACTGCTGGAGCAGCGGCGCATGCAACGTACACCTGGCAGCAGCAGCAACATTAGTCAATCAGAACAACAGCAGGAAGAGTCGCAACAACGACAGCAACAACAACAATCGCAACAGCAACGTTACCGTTTGTATGCCAAAAACAATAACGAAATTTCCTCCGTTTCGGGCAGCTTGAGTCATTCAAATAAAATGCGCACACGCCTCTCACATCAGACGCGCAAGGATGCGCGCAGCGTGCAACAGGAGGAGTTGCCACCAGCACCACTCGAATTGCCGAACATCCCATTTCCGTTGATGAGCAGCAAGCCCAAATTTGATTTGGTAATAACAGCGCCTACAGTCAAGCCAGCTGTTCCAGCTCCAGCAGCAACAGCAGCAGCAGCAGCAAAACCAGCCACCTCGAAGAACACAGCAACAGTTGCTGCTGTCACACCTCCTGCGTCTCAGCTCAACAGCAACAAGAACAGCAACAACGACAGCAACAGTACAACTTATATATTTGATGCACCAATTGTGCTGGTCTGCGACAACGGCATTCACCACAACCAATTGCCAATTGTCTCGCCCAATTTCATATTTGAGCAGCCAATGCCAATTGTGATGCAGCCCAATGGAGGCGCCACCAACAAAAACAACAACAACAGCAGCAGCAGCAGCAGAAATCATAGCTTAATAACCAGCGGCAGCGTGTTGGATGTGCTGCTACCCAAGCCAACAGCAGCAGCAACAGTTACACCAGCAACTGTTGGCTTCGGTGATCAGTTCAAGAAATCGTCGAGCGAATGGGAGTGCGAGATTTGCATGGTGCGCAATAAGATGAACGCCAGCAAATGCATTGCATGCGAAACGTTACGCAAAACGACAACAACAACAACAGCAGCAGCGGCGGCAGCTACAGTGAACGCTGTTAGCAGCAACAGCAACAGCAGCTCAAGCAACGGCAGCAACAGCAGCAGCAGTTTTGCTAGCAATACCAGCAGCAGCAACAGCATGCCAGCTGCTGTAGGCGGCTTTGGCGGCGCATTCAAGCCAGATGCGAATAGCTGGGAGTGTGGCAGCTGCATGATAAGGAACCAGGCCAGCTGCAATGCATGCATTGCCTGCGAAACGCCCAAACCCAAGAGCAATATCACCACCAGCAACAGCAACAAAAACAACAGCAGCAGCATTGCTCCAGTTGCCAGCGGTTTTGGTGATGCCTTCAAGCCCAAGGCGAATACCTGGGAATGTGGCACCTGTATGATAACCAATCAATCCAGCAGCAATGCGTGCATTGCCTGCGAGACGCCCAATCCCAAAGCGAAGAACAGCAATAGCAGCAGCAGTAGCCTTAGTTTGCTGCCAGCAACTGTTGCTGTTGGCAGCGGTTTTGGTGATGCATTCAAGCCCAAGGCTAATACCTGGGAATGTGGCACATGTATGATAAGCAATCAATCCAGCAGCAATGCGTGCATTGCCTGCGAGACGCCCAATCCCAAAGCAAAGATCAGCAACAGCAGCGGCAGCGGCAACAACAAAAACAACACCACCAGTAGCAGCAGCAGCAGCAGCTTCAAGTTTGGGTTTATAGGAGGTGAGCAGCAGCGGGTGGTGGTGCCACCGAAGCCAGCTGCTGCACGCTGGAATTGTGAGGCGTGCATGGCCGAGAATGAGGAGATGCGTCAAAAGTGCATTTGCTGCGAGCAACAGAAGCCGAACGCCAATAACGATGAGGCATTGAATGGTTCGTCGTCGGTGCCGAAGTTTATGTTTGGCTTTAATCGTACAGCAACAGTTGCACCAACACCAACACCAGCAGCAACACAACCAGCAGTAGCAACAGTTGCTGCGGAATCTGCATTTGTTGCCAGCAACGTGACAGCAAAAGTTGCTGATAATGCTGCTGCTGCTAAACCAATGTTTAGCTTTGGTGCGCCCACAGCAATGTCGAATAGCAGCAGCAGCAACACTAGTTCCAGCAACAGCAGCGGCAGCAACAACTTTACCATAAGCACCAGCAACAACAACAACGCAGCAGCAGTAGCAGTAGCAACCACCACAACGTTCAATTTCGGCAGCAGCAACTTGCAGCCAGCAGCAACAACGACAGCAGCAACAGCTGTTAATATTGGTACAACAACAACAGCAACAACAACACCAGCAACATTTTCATTTAACAACAATCAATCAGCAACAAGCAACGCCGCCAGCAGCAACAATTTTTTGTTTGGTGCGCCAGCAACAGCTTCTGCAGCACCAGCAACAGCTTCTGCAGCACCAGCAACATTTTCATTTAACAACAATCAAGCAGCTAATGTAACAGCAACAACAACAACATCAACACCAGCAGCAACAACAACAGCAACAACAAGTATCAGCAGCTTATTTGGCGCAACAGCAACAGGTGGCTTTGGCGCTCCTTTAGCGCCCAAGAGCAACAGCAGTAGTGGCAACACAACAACCACAACAGCAGCAACAACAACAATGCCGAGCTTTGGCAACAATATCAACAGCAGCAGCTACACGCCGTTTAGTTTTGGGGCCAAGCCAACAGCAGCAGAACCGATAGCGACAACAGCAGCAGCAACAGCTTCCGCGACCACAACAACCACTAGCAGCAGCAGCAGCACAAAACCACTCAGCAGCTTTGGTTGGCCGACAGCAGCAGCAGCACCAACTCCTAAGGCCAATAACAATGCAACGTTGCCAACTTATGTCATGTTCGGTGGCAACACAGTAGCAGCAGCGCCAGCGCCAGCAGCAGCAACGGCAGCAGTAGCGCCACAACAGCAACAACAACAACCGCCTATTAGCAGTGACAGTGGCATCTCCGCTGTCTTTGGCAATGTAAGCAATCCGTTTGGTGCAGCGTCTTCCTCAACGGCAGCAGCGCCAGTTCTTGGCAATAGCAACAGCAGCAGTACCAGCAACACAAACACCAGCAGCAGCCCGTTTGGTTGGCCAACCGGAGCAGCAGCAACAGCATCAACAACTCCTATTGCCAATAATAATCCTGCCACCAGTGCTGCCACAGCGACAACGTTGCCAACTTTTGGCAGCGGCAGCGTCATGTTCGGTGGCAACACAACAACCACAAACGCAACACAATCCTATTTTGGAATGGCAGCAGCAACAGCAGCAGCGCAGCAGCCGCAACCCATTGGCAACAGCAGTGGCAATGGCAGTGGCAGTGGCATTTCCAACGTCTTTGGCAATGTTGCAAATCCATTTGGTGGTGCATCTTCCACGGCAACAGCAGCGCCTGCCGCATCGCTCTCAAATATATTCAACAACCCAGCGGCAACACAACCAACACTAACAGCAGCAGCAGCAGCAAAAACAATTCCTAAACCGGCATTTAACTTTAGCAGCGGTGTTGCTGCCACAGCCACGGTAAGTGTTGCACATCTAGCACCTTTATATACATATTCTTGATCAGCAGCAACTAGACGAGTCTATATAGCCATGTCCGGATTTTTGTAGTCAGACTCAGTTGAAATGCAATCTTGATGAAATTTGGTAAATATCCCACTGAAGGCAGTACATTGGGTACATAAGATAACTCGATTAGATCGTATCGGATCGTAACACTATATCAAAAGCGGATGGATTGAGAATCGTTTCGAAAATAATGATTTTAGCGATTGTGATCAATTCTAACACTGTTAACAGACATACTGCACACTGTTAGTTTTAGCATAACGTTTAACGTTTAACATGCAACTCACAGTTACTCATTAAAGCTGCCAGAACTTAACAGAACATAACATGTAACGTTCGATTTGACACAGTCACTCATTAACAGCTTTCTCTCTCTTTCTTTTTGTTTCTTGTGCTTTTCTCTCGCAGCCATCTGCAGCGGGCGTTTTTAATTTCGGTGCAGCGCCGACGAGTGGGACGACGGCTAACAGCGGCGCAGGCGCATTCAATTTTACAGCAAATGCAGGAACAGCAGCTGCGGCGCCGCAAACAGCACCATTTAACTTTTCAGCAAATGCAGCCACAGCAACAGTTGGCAACGCTGGCAACACTGGCAACACTGATGTAAGTTAAATACAAATGATGCTGGCAGCATCGAACAAACGCCAAATGCCCAATTCCCTTCTTAGTTTTAAGCCTGGCAACACTCTCAGCATATACATATATACACATGTAAATCATGTATGTTGTATGTACATTTGTATTAAATAATTGGGGAATTATTCTTGTTGCTCTTTCTATTATTATTATTATGACAATTTGTTGTTTTCCATTTTCCATTACTTTGCATGAAGTCGTTATCTCTTTGACGCTATGTATGTCCGTGTTATCGATATATTATCGGTATTATTATTATTATTGGAGAAGCTGCACCGCGACCTATTTGATCTATTGTGCCCACTTCTGAGCTTATAGCTCCTTCATCAGCCCCAACTCCCGTACGAACGTAAGGATCTTTATTGGGTTGAGGTCTTCTATGTCTTTGCAATTCAAGACATGCGCCCCTAGGATGCTGCTTCTTCTTCTAGCTAAGGCGACACATTCTGCCAGGATGTGCATCGAGAATTCCTCCTCTCTTTCACAAAACCTGCAGAGATCGCTACTGTATATACCCAATTTTGTCAGGTGACTCCTTAGTCTACAGTGTCCTGTCAATAGACCGGTAAGTATCCTAAGGCTGTTCTTTCCCATAGTTATAATCTGTTTAAATCGAACAAGATTATAACCACCTAGGAGACATCTGGCTTGTCGGAATCCTACTGTCTCCGACCAGCTCTGTTGCCGTCTCTGCCTCTCCTCGTTTCTAAGTTCCAGTCGTATAGTGTGCCTCCATATGCCACAATACGGTTCTGGTCCTGTTAGGGGCCTTACTGCTCCCATTCTTGCTTGCTTGTCAGCCGCCTCGTTTCCCGCTATGTCCCTGTGGCCCGAGACCCATCGTAGGGTGAGCCTGTTGTGAGTCCCGAGTAGGTCTAGCTTTGAACGAACTTCATGGACTACCTTCGATGTTACCTTAGTCCCCATTATAGCTTTCAATGCTGCTTGACTATCGGATAGGATGGATATACCCCCAACTCCTTCTGCCGATATCCTAAGAAGCGTGGCTTTCTGCTTGAGCCTTATGATATGGTGGAATGGTGTGAGCTCCATTAAGGCTTCAAGGGCCATTGTTGGGCAGGTTCGCATAGCTCCTGTCATACATACGCAGGCCATTCTTTGCAACTTTTGTAGTTGTTTCTTCACGGTGATCATCCGCGCCCTGTTACCCCATGCTACCACCCCATAGGTTAACATGGGTCTTACTACAATCAGGTATAGCCATCTTAATATCTTTGGTGATGTACCCCATGATTTGCCGGCAATACTACGACATGTATAAAGCGCCCTGGAGCACTTTAATATCGTGGTTTGCACATGGATGCCAAAGTTAAGCCTGCTGTCAAATGTGACTCCCAGGTATTTGACCTCCCTACTTGTTTCTAGTGGGGTCCCTGAGAGCCATATTTGTCTCATCCTCTGTAACTTATGTCGCCTGGTAAAGGGGACGATGACTGTTTTCGTAGGGTTTAGGTTGAGTCCAACTTCCATACACCAGTCATACGCTATCCTTATCCCTGACTGGACTATGTCACAGAATGATTCTTCAAATTTGCCTCGCGCTATGATAACAATGTCCACTGTCAGCAAGTCTGTTTAGTAATTCGTCTACTAACAGACTCCAGAGTAGCGGAGACAACACCCCCCCGAGCTATCATGTAATGATGCCGTGGCTTGCCTGGACCGTAGCAGTGCAAGTATCCATCTACTGGTAGTATGGTCCAGGCCTCTTCTTTCAAGGGTAGCATTGATTGCATCGTGAGATGTGTTATCAAAGGCGCACAGTGCTACTTCCTTATTATCAATTGCCGCACTCAAAGTACGTCGCAGCTGATAAAGTGACGGACACAGGACCTGCCTACGCTGTATGCATGCTGCGTTGGGTGCAGCGGCCTTTGTTTAAGCAAAGTGCTTCTGATTTTATAGTCCACCAGCTTTTCCAACGTTTATAGTAAAAACGATGGGTCCGAAGGACTTTGGGCTGGTAATGTCTTTCTTCCCTGCCTTGGGGATGAAGACTACCCTAGCTCTTCTCCATGCGCCCGGTATGTATCCGAGGGCTAGGCTACTTACTAATGCTTTCCTAATACGGGAGAGGAGTATTTCCTGTCCTGTTTGAAGGAAGGCTGGCGATATGCCGTCCATTCCAGGGGACTTATAGGGCTGGAATGTTCCAATTGCCCAATTAAGTCTCTCCGTTGAGACTATCGACTTGGCGCATGCCCAGTCGTCAATTGACGGCCTGTATCTACTTTCCCGCCTCTTGGGAGCTGGCGCTGGTGCCGTAGCCGCTTCCCTGGGCTCTGTGGCCTTCTTCAGGGCAGCATCAGGAGTGAGTCCTTGCTGGAGGTACCGAAGGTACCACTTGACCCTTGAACCGCAGAGATATCTCCGGTTCGGGTCATCCAGCCCACCGGGTTGACCCCTCGGTGGCAGGAACTCTTCCTTCCTCTTAGGGCGCTGTGCGCCCTGCCTCGCAGCGTTCGTTGCTGGGCGTGGTGGTCGGAGTGGTCCGACCATCACTCTCCCATACCTCAAAGCCGGAGTTTGTTGTGCCTGCGGCACTCTCCTGTTTGGTGCTGAAGCAGCACGGTGTGGAGGTTGGTCTACCACATAAGAGGGTCTTTCCCCGTCTAGGGAACGACCCTCTTTCCCCGTCTAGGGAACGACCCTCTAGGTGTCTTGCGACATACTCCGCAGAGAGATCCTACGGTATTTTAGTGTTCTTGGAATTTTTCATTAGTTCCAACGTGCTGCGGAGAATTGAGTGTCCGCCCGGGCAGAGATCCGCATTACCCGGGTAAGACTGAATTAGAACAGGCGGTTGCCATTTGCCTGAGCCCACCGTTCGAGACTGGGCTAGTTTTTTCTCCGGGCCCCCAGCCTAGCTGACTCTCGGCACGGTTCGGATAACGCCTTAGTCCGGCCCGGAGTGAGATGTGGGGGATAGGATGGGGTAGGTAATTGTGAGGGAGATAGGGGGTTGTGTGAGGCTATACTTTAAAGGCGGCAACACAAACGCCTTGTCAGTGCGATTGACAATACCGCACCCGCTGTTTGTCCGGGACTGCTTATTTACGAGGAATCTCGTATTATTCGCAGCTAACCTCCCCGAGGGGAGGCCATTCGCTATCCGCAACCCGCGACCCGCCTGATGGCCTCAGCTTAGCCCCATTCGAACCATCCCACAAGTTCTTTAGACCAGGTATATTATCGATAACACACACATACATAATATTTGATTGTTTTTTCATTTTGTACTTATTTTTGTATATTTTCTTGTATTTTCGCAAAACAAAAATATTGATTGATGTCCGGCTCTGTCTCTTTCAATTTTCCAATTGTATACTGTAAACTGTAAACTGTTTTTTGGGCTGCTGCTACTATTTGTACTACTACCACTATTTCTACTACTATTTTGAAATGTGAAATGTGAAGTTATTTCCACAATCGGAACGACTTTTCCAATTTGGGGCCGCCCCATCGGCGTCGTCGCAGCCATCAGCAAATAAATTGTATAACTTTGCCGGCTCAACGCAGCAAATCCAGGTAAACAATATGCTCTTTGCGCATATCTCGTTTACTAACTTCCTCATTAACATTACTTACTTTTCAGTTGTTTACATTAGCCCCATAATCATAATATGCACACACTTCAAAATCATATATAATCTATTCTTATTTGCATGCTCTTTTTTAACTAACTGCACAGACACATACAGCGACATATACTAATGAATAACACACACACACACACACACACACAAAACACACTCACACACACATCCAACAATCACAGACGGTAAACACTTACCTCGTATACAGTTGCGGACAGAATAATAGCACCACTCCCAGAATAAGTTGCAAGTTAAAGCAACTTATGAATACAAATAATAAGAATATCAAGAAAGAAACTATAATTTTAATGAAAAACCATATCACTTATAAATAAATAAATATTTCGTTAGTTTTATCTAATTGTTTATTTTGTAAATTTAGTGTTTAGTTGCATAAATGGCACTTTTCAAATTAAATAGAATATATATAATATATTTATTGAAAAGAATTCCAAGATACGAAGTATTCATCCTAAAACAATATAAAAAAAATCATTTTTCTTTTTAATATTTTGTTATGCCTTAAAATAATTGTTGTAGTTGTGCTATTATTATACACACATACATACATACATACATACATACATACGTAGAGAAGAAGGCACTCCACTTCCACTCACTCACTTGATGAGCGAATTGTTGTGTTGTGTTTTTGATATTGTTATTGTTATTGTTGTCACCATTTTGCGTTATTCCATCTCTTCTAAATTGGTAGTTGCAATCTTCACCATATATGCACATACATACATACACACATATTAAACTCTCTCATTTCCCATACATTACACACATATATACATATATACATACATACTACATACCAAAGTACACAAAACAAAGAATTTCAAAATGCCAAATGGAATTGAACAGCAACAAAAATGATGTTCAAAATATTAAAAGGGCGAATAATATGCACATGCGCTAAACATATATATGCATATATATATATATACATAATAATAATAATAATATACATAATATATATATATATATATATATATATATATATATATATATATATATATATATATATATATATATATATATATATATGTTCATTCTTTTTTGTTTTGTTCTTTTCTCGATTTCGTTTTTTTTTTTTTTTTGTCATTTTAAAATGCGTCCACCAACAAATTGGAGAAACACGTTTAAAAACAAAAACCCAAAATGTCTTTTGCAGTCAACGCCAAACGCCGCCGCTCCGTTCCAATTCAATATCGGCTCCAATGCTAATGCCAATGCCAATGCCAATATATTCGCGTAAGTAGTGTTTCTGAGTGTGTGACAAGGACAGCAACATTTAGTGCTACTCATACGCCTGCTCGCTCACTCGCTCGCACGTTCGTTCGTTCGTTCTGTGCGCGTTGCGCTGCAATCGATCAGAGAGAGAGAGAGAGAGCAGCGACGATGATAATGATGATGATGTGAAAAGAAGAGAGTGAGTGAGTGGAGTGTGAAAGAGAGAGAGAGAGAGTGTGTTTATGTTGAATTTGGCCAAAAGTTCAATTAAAAAACAAATGGCACACAGACAACAAATACAGTTACACATATACACCCAGAGAGAGAAACACACACACACACACACACACACATGCATACACACACACAAAGTAACAGTAACAAATGCATTATTAACCGTTAAAAATGACAACTTTTGCATTGCATACGTTAATATCTAAGGCACTTTTAAATGTTGAAACATGTTCATATTATATTTACCATATAATAATACATATACAAATTGATGTTTCATTGTTTATTTTATATATCAATATATGTATTTGCACATGTGTGTGTGTCTGTGTATGTGTGTGTAGAATGATGAATGATGTGTGAACCTGATCCAAATAATATATTTGTTGTTGTGCACCTTTTTTGGTACATTTGTACCACGCTGTACCAAGTTGAAACGATAATATTTAAATGTGCATTTGATGTCTAGATTGCTCAATGTTGTCATTTGTTGTGCTCGATGTTTTGCAATGGCAATGGATAAACGATAATCGATATCGATCATAATAATTGTTCCATCCATATATATATATAATAGTATATAATAATTGACAAGCATATTCCAAATGATGATACACGATATAATAGCAATCGTGTGGCTCTCCTCTCTCTCTCTCTCTCTCTCTATCGCACACTCTCTCTGACTAAATCTTGCTCTGTGTGTGAATTGAGAGTTTGCAGTTCGCGTAAAAGTCTTTAAGTGTTGCACTGTTCACTGTTTACTGTTAACTGTTAACTTTGAACATTGATGTTATATACTAATTATATACGTTGTCTGCTTAACAATCCACCCACCTACCACACCACACCACCAACAGGTTCAACCCACCCAACACTGGCAACAACAACACGCAGAATCAACGCCGCAAAATACGCAATCCAATGATGCGTCGTCAGCCGCCCCGGTAGAATTTCAAATAGCCGCCGCTGCGTATGCTGCTGCTGCTGGTGCTACTGCTGCTGCCGTCCATCAGGCGGCGGTGGTCAACGACGTCGACTACAACGATGACGACGACGAGGAGACGCGACACTATTGGTTAACACTGGAACTCGGAATTGGGACAGCAGCAATGAGCCAGGAACAAGAGCAGCAGCAGCAGCAACAGCAGCAGCATAATGTTAATACTAATAACAGCAACAGCAACAGTGGACAGAGAACGACGAGAACAACGACGACGACGAGAACAGCGACAGAGACGCCGCAGCACTGCAGCACAACGCAGCCGCCGCCGCCGGTAGTCATATTGCAGCGTCGCAGTAGTTGCCATTGGCAAAAGTCACAGCACAACAACAGCAACAAATATCGCTATGTGCGCCAACAGACAACAGAAGCAGCAACATTAACAGCAGCGCAAGCAATAACAGTAGAAGAGACAGCAGCAGCACCACCATTTAGCGTTGCCAGACAGTTCACATTTAGCAGATCGCTGGCGAATAGCAGCAGGCAAATGCGCAAAACCAGCCTTGCCAATCCTAGCAACAGCAACAACACTAATGACGCCAACAACAACGAAGCTGGCGTCAACAGCAGCGGAGCAACAGGAGAACAACACCAGCAGCAGCAGTAGCAGAGGCAAGCAAGCTGCGCAGTCGCTATAAATTGGAGCAGCGACCCAGCATCGATGACTGAATAAATACACACACACCCATACACAATTATACATATTTACATACATACATACATACATACAACACACACAGTTTCATACAAGCTATATCTATATATAAATATATAAGTTTTGTTGTTGTTCGAGGAAGACAACAGGAACAACAACTAAAGAAGATGAAGAAGAAAAACCAACAATTACGCGATAAATAGTTGTTTATTCTGTTTATTTTTTGTTTCATTATGAAGTTAAATTAATTTTGTTGATTTGTCAAAAGCCCCAAAATATCATGTATAATATATATATATATATTATTAACTATATAAACTCGAAAAGTATTGCAACTGCAACAACAATTTGAAAATTTTAACTTTTTTTTCTGTTGTAAAAATTAACCATTTTTATTATTTATACATATATTTTATGTTTTTTTTTTTGCTTGAAACATATTTATATACAAAAAACCAACAAAAAAAAAAAGCAAAAAAAATTAAACATTTTAACCGATAATTTAATAATTACGTTGTGAATTTGTAAAGAATGAACGTGTTAAAGAGATACAGATACAGATAAAGAAATAGCGCAAAAGAAAAACTATACACATTATATATATATATATATATATGTACTTGAAACGAAATCATTTTTGCTTAGACAATTTTTAAGTGCAAACCACGCCCACAACCTATATATACCATATAGAGATATAGCGAAGCAGGCGCTGGCCGATGTTTATTAGAAGAAGAAGAAGGAGAAGCAGAAGTGGAAAGAGAAAGAAAAACTACCGTAATAATGTCGATAGATTTTTGTTGTTATTCAAGTTAAGTTTCGATTCGAACACTTCCGTTTCCGAAACAAAAGCATAGAAAACACAAAATCAAAAGTAAAACTGAAATAAAAACAAACCATCAACATAGAAAGAAAAGAAAAGAAGAGTAAAACACGAAAACCACAAACAAAACAAACAAACAATTTAGCAATGTAAACTAAATCAACAAAAACTACACTGAATATATATAATATTATATATATATATATATATACTATACTATATGTGTATAGATACATATGTATGCACATATGTATAAGCAAACGAAACACAGAAACAACAACTACAATTATTATGTGCGTGTTTTTTTTTTATATAAAACAAAACAAAAGTAAAATAAGACAAAATGGAAAAACACGAAAAAAACAAACTGAAACCCGAAGTCTTAGTGTTAAGTGAATGAAAGAGGAAAAAAAATGAAAAAAAAATACAAAAATACTGACAGTTGACAAATTGAAATCATAATGTAAATAAGTAAATATAAACGGTATGATAATTAAAAACGTGACAAAATTAAAAAAAAAACCAAAGTATTTTTTTGAATTTGTGTAACAGTTGGCGCGCACTGTTAAACGTCAAAATGGACGAACTAATGAGTAGTATTGGTCAAAATATAGATAACATGCCTGCATAATTTAAACAGTGCCATCTGAGTACTTAACGGGCTTTCCGCATGTTAATACAATGTAAACGTAAGTACAAATATAAATATATAATGTTTATCAAATAAATATTCGATTAATTGAATTTGCAGTTAAAAGAGCGCATACTGATTAACGTATTGGAAATGTTAGTAAAGTAACGTAAGCGAGTTTGAACGTACGTAATTATTATTCGAGAAGTAGCATCGATATGTAATCGACGTATTAACTCGAAACGGTAAGTTCGAATTTGTCACTCTGCTGCATACGGTCGTCCGTCACTGCTCGGGTTGTTCAAACAAATGGATTTATTAATTTTTTTTTATTAAATCAGTATTGTATATCGATATGTTCTGTGATAAATATATAATTTGATATCGCAAGCTCGAGTCTCCAATATCGATAGATATCGATGCGATATGAACATCCCCAGTTAACAGCGAACGCACGACAAACGTAAATTCGTGGAAATTACGCACGGGTGTTTTTTTCGTAGCTCAATAGGACTATTTGTTTATTTTTTTCGGTTCTAACATAAATGAAGCATACATTGCAAATGCAAAAAAATGCATATATATATTGATGCATATGTCTGATTAGTGTAATTGTTGTTTGTGTCAAATTCGAAAAAGGTGAATGCAATTCTTAGATTTTAAGATGGATATCAGATGCAATCAGCGCAACAGTAGCAGCAACTACAACAACCAGAGTAGCTACAATAACAACAACAACAATAAGAAAAAGGCTGACTGACTACACCCAAAAAACGTAATACACACACACACACACACATGCATACATGGAAACAGTTGATGGCGAGGAATAACAGAAACGACAGGAAAAATGAAGTAAAAGCGACTGCAGAAGCAGCAGCAGCAACGGAACGGCACTTCAGTTGCAGTTTGTAGTTGGAGTGGAGTACATATTGAGCAACGCACACACACACACACATATATATATATATATATACTTAATATATATATAAATATATATACATATACGTACATAGACAACCCGAAAACGCATCACACAAAGAGACATTTGCATGCATGTGTGTGTGGGTGTACGAGCAGCAGCAGCAGCAGCATCGTTTAAACTTCGTGTTCGGCATTCGTCGTTCGTTGCTCGTTCGTCTGTTCGCTCGGTCGTTCGTGTCGTTGAAATCGTGTCGTTGTTGTTGGAGTAACAGCATTCGCCTACGCAGCAGCACCACCAGTAACAACAACAACGAGGAGAAGGGCAATCAAAGGAAGCGGTTTAAGAATGCATGGGAATGCACAAAGTACGAAACACGAAAGAGAAATGCAAATTTAACAGAAAATTGAAATAAGTGCAACGGGTTTCCAATTCCGCACAACGCAACAATTGTAACTGTAATACAAAACGCAATTGCCAAACTGATCAGAGAGACGGAGAGAGCGGGAATAGAAGGAGGCGCCAAGGAGAGAGAGAGAGCGCCATCGAATCAGATCGCTTCCATTATTCCCTCTTGTTGGATTTCTTATAACAACCCATACCGACCTCCCCCACCCCACCCCTCCATTGGTGCTGTCGTAATATGGATTGTGGTGCTCTTGCCGCGCAGCAGCAGCAACTATTACAACAGCAACAAAAACAACAACATCAACATCATCAAAAGCAGCAACAAAATACGCTAAACTGCCTTGCAGCAACAACAACAACAGCAACAAATGTAAGTTTATACACACACACTGTTACAGGTATATACATACATATGTATGCCTAAGTATTATTTCTCTCTTTTACTTCCACTTTGCATTCGCCCCCACACAAAAATGCTTTGCTTTGCGTTGCGTTTCGCTGCCTGCGTCGCAGTCGACGCTGCTCCTCTTGCAGTTTTCATATTGGTTTTCTTATTAGATATTTTACATATGAGTAACTCGGGCAGCGCAGTCGACGTTTCTTGTGGGTTTTTGTTCGCTTTTGTTTCCTTTTGCAATTGTCTTCGGCTGCGTGTGGGCTGATGGCCTGGGGGGTGGGGAAACGGGGGCGTGGCTGACTACTCGCCATGTGCATAAATAATTTAAGACATTTTATGCTAATTGGATGTGTTTCTGTGTGTGTAGAGGAGTCGCAGCGGGTTGAGGACGGCAGTTGTTGACAGGTACAAAGTTTACACACACATTATATATATATATATATGTATATATATGTGTGTGTGTGTGTTTGGTTTGGCCATCTTAGCTAAGTTCGCAAAAAGGCGGCAAACGGCTGGGAAAACGAATGACTCAAAAGGCTATTTAACCAACTGATGATTAATCGCTCGACGGCTGCTGCGGCGACTAAAGAAATACAAGTAAAAAAAAAAAAACAAAATAAAAAAGAAACGCAAGGAAAATACGTAAGAGTGCACTCCAGTGAGTTGTAGCCGACTGGAATATACTCCGTGCTTTAACACAAATTCAAAAATATGAATAAAATGAAAAAAATATTTTAATAGAAAAGGAAAGAAACGCTGTGAAAAATATGTAAGACAGAAATGAAAAGGTAATAAAAAAAAGTAGTACATTGCATATATAGCATTATTAATTATTTTTTCAGTCTACTAGTAAATAGTGAAAGGAGCACAAAAAAAACAAATGACTATTTCACATAATTGATATAACCCGTTCTACATATGGCATGCATAGAGGGTATCTGACAGAGAAGAAGAAGAACAACCCGCAATCAGAGAGTGGAGAAAGAATTACGAACAGTTTAATTGCCGTTTTTTGTACATGGTCCGAACTTTTGCCCATTACTTTCACCATGCATAAAATATTCTAAGGCAACAACAACAACAAGTGCCAGGGAATGAGTGAAATAAGTTCAAAATGAAATTGTTTATACAAAGGCAAAACACAACAGGAAAAAAAAACAGCACAGACAATAACAACAACAGGGAATGGACTTGAAGAAGAGGAAAAGCCGTCTTTTGCTGCTGGTGTTTGTCTGTCTGTGTTCTTTTTGTTTTTGCCGCATCGCGTAAATATCTTTCTCATACCCACTCCCCTCCCATGTCTTTCTCTCTCTCCCACAAAGTGCGTTTAGCGCTACGTGACTGCAATAAAATAAAATAAATAACTGCTGCAACTACGTGCCTCATGCTTTGTTCTTGTTTCTTGCCCAAAAACAAAAAAGAAAGAGAAATGGTCAAGCTGCAAACAGCGATTAACATTGAATGCCTCAAGGATGCGTACACACACACACATATATATGCATATTCGCAGCATGCGACGACTAACGGCACATATGCACCAACCAGGTTTTGGGTCCTGCTAACGCCTGCTGTTCTCTTTTGCTTGTTCTTGTTGCTGTTGTTGTTGCCAGTGCTGCCCAGCTGAGCTGGGCATGCAACATGGGCAGCACTTTTAGCATAAGAAGATTACCCAGCAAAAAATTTGTATTCCATAACTTATGTGTAAAAGTTGACCTAATTATTTTATGCACACAGCTAAATAATATTGGGACAATATTGGATCTGTTAATTATCTTATGATCGCACGCAAAAATCAAATATGTGCATAATTAATAATAAAATAAATTGACATATATTTCACTCGAGTGCTTTTCTTACCAAACAAGCAAATAAATAGAAATAGAAACCAACAGTTACGCATTTTCGTTGCAAGATCAAAAATTACAAATTGAAATATAAAAAAATTAAAAGAGCGTGACGTCATACGTCTCTGCCATGCGTTACCTTCACAGCCGTGTCGCCATGCAAAGAGCGCGTGTGTCTGTCAGAGAGGGAGGGAGCGAGGCTTACAGTGAGCGCGTCGCCGTCGCTTCTCGCATTTGTTTCTCGACCGAGGCGCGCACGAGACGACAACGGAGCGCAGCGGATAAACGAGACGGGACAGCCACATAAAAAAAAAAATAAATAAAAAGCTAAATCATCAAATAAGTTGTAAATTGTAAAGCGCGCGCGGAAATCAAAAGGCGACGACAACTTTGTTAAAGTTCGTGTTTTTTTTCTTGTTGTGTCGTATAAATTCAACGCCTTTTTTTTCTTCACGTTCTTAGCACATAATTCCGGTAATTTTGTTTTTTGTGTCGCCACGCTCTTGTTGTTCTTATAATATATTTTTGTTGTTTTTATTGTGTGTGTATTTTGAAGTTTATTAAGTTCCTTGTGCAGTCGAAAACAACAAAAGCAATTAACTCCAGCTGCTTTTGTTTATAAAACACACACATGCATACAAACGAGTGCGTGTGAAATGAAGCAATAATTAAAAGTGCCTTTTTTAATTGACGAGCTAAATACAAACAAGAACAACAACAATAACAGAGCCGTGCTGCTGCTGGCAATCGAAATCGAATTGACGTTAACATTGACGCGGTAAGAGCACACAACACATATATAAATATATATATATATATATATATATGCATGTACTGCAATACATTCATATATATTACGGCAAACAACCCTGTTGACTTCCCTGCCAAAGCTCTGTTAAGCGGCGAGACAGGCGAGCGCACCACAGGAGCGAGAGCGAGAGAGTGAGAGAGAGAGTGCTAAAAGAGTTCTGTTTGTTTTTGTTTTTTGGCAGTTAATGCGTTTTGCTTTTGTCTTGTCAGTGTGTGTGTGTGTGTGGCGAGGGCGGTTGCACATCGACTCCAGTTTATTTGCTTTTAGCTTCCAATCAAATGGGGTGTGGGGGAAGGGGCTAAACAAGCATGGGGTCTATATTCCATATGCCATCTGCCTTATGCTTTTATTATTGTTTACTTCATTTTTCGTTTCATTTTGTGCCTTATCTTTACTACAAGCACCCGCATCTATTCTGTGTATGTTGTGTGTGTGTTAGTTTCATTCAACTTTTCTGCATGCGGCAGCTAAAAATGTGTTGTTTTTGGATATGGCAACGCCGTCCAGTCTAGTCTCATGTTTTTGCCGGTTTTTGGGTTTTCTTCTTCTTTTTTGCCGAGTCATGTGGTCTCAGTGTGTGTGTGTGTGTGTGCGTCATCCCATCCTGCCATCCCACCGCCAACACCACCCGCATTCGCATCTTCTGAGTAACGGCACTCTCGCTCTCTCTATCGGTCTCTCATTCTCGGCATTGTTGTTCTTGTGATTATTATTATTATTGGTGGTTGTGGTTGTGTTGTTGCCGTTTAATTGCTTCTCTGCACGTTCGTCAAATATTTGCTCAACTCTTTTTAATTACATTTCCCGCTGCACACACACGCACACAGACATGCATGTGCATATGTATTTGTATGTAATGTTTTACAGTGCTCAAATTTTGAATAGCAATTCGCAAAGCAGCTGATTTTTACGAACGAACAAAATGGAAAATGACGAACGATAAGAAATATATTCCCCCCGCCCTCTTTGTCTTGGTAATTTAAAATAGGCCCTTTAGTCAAGAAGTGCTTAAATAGTATCCATCAATTATAAAATCGAAATTTTTATTAACGCATTCCACTTGAACTTTGTAGTTGCATTTGTGTTTGTTGCAATGCGCTCTTGAGTGTTTTTTCTTTTTTTTATTGCGACGTATGTGCATATGTATATGTATGTGTGTATATATATTGCCTTGCACTAAACTTAATTGATATTGTTCTCTTCATATTTTTAGACACTTCTAATAATGCACTGCTTCCAAGGCAAGCAGTTTTTCTTGTGTTCGATTCGATGTGCGTTTGAATTACAATTTGTCTGGCTTCGTGTACAAAGAATGTATTTTGATGTGTTGCAATGTGTTTCGTTTTTTATTTTTTCAATTTTTATTTTTACTTCCCATTTCATAATCTCTAATCATACATCTTACGCCTATCCAGTTTGGCCCGCAAGGCTTTGCCTTGGCCCACTGTGCGACGACGTCGATGACGAAGACGTAGACAAAGACGGAGACGAAGATGGAGGTTGCCAAAGCAAGAAGTTAAATCGCTAATTTGAGCGCATTCTTATTGCGGCTGCTGCTGCTCGTGTTGTTGTTGTTGACGCAGCAGCACCCATATGACTTCTGCACATGGCCATTGCCGTTATTACTATTGTTGTTGTTGTTGTTTCTTTTTAGTGCTTTACTTTTTATGATTCTTATTACACGCCTTGCTGCTTATGGCTTATGGCTTTGCTTTTGCTCTGCTCTGTTTTGCTTTTGTTTTTGCTGTGCTCTGATTTGCGCTTTGTCTTTGTCTCAATTTAACTCGTTGATGGCGACACTGCCTGAGTTTGCCTCTTAAATATTTATGCGGCTACTGCGGACGCGATTATGCGACGACATCTTGCTACTGCCGCTGTTATTTATTATACCCTGTACTCATTAGACAAGTGGAAAAGACGATATACTGAAGATCTACAATTGATTTTTTTAATTGTCTTACCAAAAAGCAAAAAAAAAAAAACATAACTTTCATAAGTAGATCGTACAAATTTGGTATATAATACTACTACTAATACTACTTACAGGGTATTCTCCAGTTCAAACATATTTTTTTCAATGTTTCAATGTTTTTCGTCGTGCGTTGCTGTTGTTGTTGCTGTAAATATTTTATTATCGTTTGTTTCCGTTTAGGAACCGAAATGGGGGGAAACAAATGTGTGCTTACACACACACACGCACAAGCATACATATTTAAAATTCTTTTGTCGCCATATTCATTTCGAAATTATGTACTTGGCTTGTTGCTTCACACGACGCTTCGTTGCGCATCGCCCGCCTCCTCCTCGTCCTCCTCCTC